AATTGTTAATATTTTAACAAATAATAATAATAATTATAATTATAATTATAATAATAATAATAATAATTAGATAAGGAGATAAATTTTTTAATATGGGCTTGAATGTAACGTCAATGAGAGAAAACGAATGTAATATAATATGTAATATAGAAAAAGAAGTTGCTAGAAAAACAAGACGTCGATACTCAAAATATCAATAATAATGATTCTTTTTTTTTTTTTTTTTTTTTTTTTTTTTAAATTGTTTCTCTTCAAAATTAGAAAAGTGAAAGCGACGATTTCATTTTCTTCTTTTTTTTTCTGTTTTGACCATACTCTATGTCTCTGTGTTAATATTCGCAAAATATTACTCTGCCATTGGACGATACTTGTATATCGCGGATTATAAACAAGTCCATATTAACGCGTCGCGTAATTAATCGTGTTTAACAATATTTTTCAAATAATCTGTTAATACTCACGTTCTCTCCAGGTCCTCCAAAACCACCCAGATTATAGTCACCCATTCCACTTCCGCTGTCTTCTCGTGGTGTTCCTGGTCCGCCATTAGCTGGACTATTCTTCATTCCATCAAGACCGTCACCATTTAAAACTGGACCCATTGTATTAGGACCCATAGGTCCCATTGGGCCACCTTCCGGACCACCAGACATCGGAAAATCCTAAGACAAGAAAAACCCGATGTCAAAGAATTAGTGAACAGAGAAAGAAAAGAAGGAAATGGAAAAAGATGAAAGGTAAAAACGAACTGAATAACAGAGATAGCAAACAAAGAAAAAATTACATCATTGCAATCATTGAATTGTTGCATCATTGATTTGAAATTTAAATAAAAATAATCTTCAATATATATATCCTTTCGAAAAAAAAAAAGAATTACATCAGAAAATTAGCGGCCGCGTTAGACAATAGTGGTCGTATCCAAATTAATGAAAGAATCATTCTCGGTATGTCAACAATGTCTTATAATTTTTCTATTTTTTAATATGAAATTATTTTCCTTCAAAGAACTTAAACACGACCATGTCCATACTCGTATGCTTACTCCAGGCATGTTTCCTCCAGGTACGGGTTTCATCATGGTATACATATTTTCTCCGCCACTATTACTGCTATCCTGAGGACTGGGCATAATCGGCGTGCCTGGTCCCGGAGGACCACTCGAACCTGGTGGGCCTCCATAGTTACCCGGTGATGATGACGAATAATTCATCGGCTGTACATAATAAATCACATTTTGTTTATTTGCTTATATCAACACACTCTGTGGCAAAATCCGGATACCACGTAAAAACAAGCATTACAAATTGCACGTAATATTAAATAATGAATGTAATAAATGTACCGTTGACGTGTTTGGTTGCCATTGTTGTCTTCCAGCAGGTCCTGCCATACTCATAGGAGGCATACCAGGACCTCCTGGACCACCTGGTCCTAAACTACTATTAGGAGGTGGCCCTCGCATTCCAGGACCGTAACTTCCAGGTCCCATTGGACCCATACCTCGTGGTGGATTCATCCGTGGGTTCATAGGATTCATTCCTGGCGGCCCTAGAGAAAATAAAATAAATAAGTTTAATCTTTTATTATTTTATTTTATATATATTTTATATATATGTATATATATATATATAGATATATATGCTTCTAGTTTTATGTTAATACTAATGCTGTATTCGCGATTTTATAGACTGCCGGCAAATCATGTACTGACAGTACGCAAGTTATTTTTCTTTTTTTTTCTTTTTTTTTTCGATTATATAAAGTTTTAACTTAATAATTTTTCATTGAAAACGATCTTAATCGAACTGCAATTATTGTTCCAGCTTTACTGTTGCAATCTGCATACGGATCATATAATACATTTAAGCATAATATATAGCTCTAAATTTAGCCTTTAAACATCAAATAAAATTCATGCTTTGCCGGAGTCTATAATAAAGCAATTGGATGACATGCTAATGCAATGATTATGTCCACACAAACTATCACAAAAAGCGCATGCTAATAACCAAAGTGTAACACGCTGATATAATCTAATTTCATATTATATTATAGTACCGAAAATTTTGCCTGCTAGAAAATTTCAATTTCGATTCTCATTGTTGTACGAATATTAGTATTATCTTTCGACGTGTAATTAGTTTATCACGAAATATATTAAAAATATATATCGAATTCTCGTCATATAAATTCTTTGTAAACCTAGCACAATTTAAGAAATGAAAATAAAATATTAAATGTTTATGCATGAGTAACATGTTACAATTAAACGCAAACAAATTAATTATGTTCTTATAATGATAATATATTTTATTGTAAAATATCAGGAAAAGCTTTCGTATTTAGTTTTATTAACATTTAGCCGACCGAATAAGGAAATCATCTACATTTGTTTCTAAAATCTATTAAATAAGTTCAGTTAAAGTTTGTCGAAGCACCGATGCTTCGTCATTTTTCTGCTTCTGAATATTTTCTATTTTTAGAAACCTAGTTTAATCTCTTAGATAAACTACAAATACTCTATTTCAAGAATGGATGAACCACCTTCGCTTAGAATGCTATAAAACTAAGGAAAACGTATATTATTTTTGTCCCCGAGCTTACGACTATGCAAGTATTGTCAGAAATGTTCTAAACCCAAGAGTAGCCGAAGAAAACTTCCTCAAACGAAATCCGACAAAGAATATTTCCCTTTTATTTTAGTGTACGTTTACTGATAGTATGGTCGACTAACTAAGAATACTAAAATACATTATTAATTTATAATTTCAAATTAAAATGCATAATGTCATTGATCTGTTATTTATGTTATTTACGTTTCACACACATACACTACAAAAAAAAATTATTATCTACTTTTAATTTAATGTTTTGTATAAACTACATGCAATGCAATACTTTACTATCAAATATAATTTATCCATTGCAATCATTTTTATATGTTCTCTATCTTTCGAGTAATGAATGCTAGTTAGCGTTATTAACGAAAAACGCGTTGTGGACAGAGTACTATCAAGCGTAACGCGCTCGGTCGGCTAACATTAATGTTAAGTGCATAAATATGTATATATTCGTGTATAAGAGAAATAAATATTTAAATATTCCTTCTCAAAAATATTCTGCATATTTTAAATTTTATATTTTATAAATAAAGACAAAAAGAAACTTGTTGAAATATAATATGCATATTATATTGCATTTTAAAGATTAAAAATTGTTTTCAAAATTTGCTTTTGAAAAGAAATATAGAAATGATCCACAATTTCATATGTCATCATTGCATGTTTATTTGACTGAATCGATAAAAAGCTTTGCGATCAAAAAATTAATAAAAAAATATATTAATCTGTATGATATACAATATTGTAATAATTACACATAGTTAAAATATTTTCAAATAATAATTGCCATGCTTAATGCAAAGATCGGATGAGAAAAACTAATAGAGGAGGTATGTGCGAAGCTAGTGCAACTCTATTTTAAAAATGTGAGAACAAAAAAATTGAATGCAAAGGGATATGAAAACAAAAATATAAGTTAGGCTTGACTAAGTCATGTGAGTGTGATTCGGTTGCCGAGTTGCTTCCTACCTTGCCACCCTACAAATTCTCCAGCTTCGCCTGAGGAACACAAGAGCACACATTAGTACGGCAGGTAGGTAAGGTCAGGTTGATGGCCATAAAGCCTAGTTATTCTACAGTGGTGTAGGAGAATAATATTTTAACTTAAATATATATGTGTGTCTGCGCACGTATATTATCGTATAATAAATGCATATACACGTATATTTCATACTTCTGCTATTATCAAACAATATTAACGAATATAAAAAAAAAAAAAAAATTAAAAAAAGAATTATTACTGATGATAACAAGTATTTATGAAAAATGAAAAAATATATAATATTTATCAAATATTAAAGTATACTATTAGGTGTAGTAATTAATTCGGTGCCTTTTAAAAACAAATTTAATATTTATTTATGAAATAATCATACATCTGTTATTCTTTGAAATAGTTTCTATTATTTTCTATGACTTTGGTTTATCTTCTTAATCAAAAAAGAACAAAGTCGCTGCTTCGAAATCTTTAATACCATTTTTGACAAGTTTTATGTTTTGCTGCACCTTCACTCAAAGCAAAACAAATCATTTCAGCGACTTCAGAAGCATTTTTCTTTAATTTAAAGGCAAACGGTATATAGTGCTGTATGAAACTTTTCATCTTGTTCTCTAATTGTTTTTTCTTCTAATTGTTGATATTTAAACATTATAAAATAGCAAGCGATTATTTACATTTAACAATAAACCAGAATTATAAATAATTGAATATCAAGAATCCGAATTAATTTCTACACCTAGTATTATAAATATAAATTAAGAGATATTTAAAAAAACTAAAATAAATAATGAATAATAAGCAAAGAAATGATAACTACACCACTGTTTATAATTAGACAATTCAAAAACCAATCCACTCCACATCACAGCAATCCAATCCAATTTTAAAATTACTTATTTATTTATTGCTGTGTGGTTTTTGGTACGCATGCGTCTATGCCATTCTCCTCTCGCAACACTTGTCAATGCCAGAAAAAAAGATACATAATACTAATGTATATATTATAAATCAATTCTTACCTTGCCTAGTAGGATCCATACTATTTGGCATCATTGGTTGTCCAGGTGGCTAAAATAATTAGAAAAAAAAAAAAAATGAATATATATAAAATTTATAATCAATATATTATAATATCTAATATACTACATAGAAATAATCAAACTCACCCCATTAAAATCATTTCCCATTTGTGGCATACGAACTCCTGGACGTGGACCGGCGGGATACCTTGGGCCCATAAACTGTAACAAGGAACAAGTCACTGTGAATTTAATAAAAAGTCTCATAACAAACTTATGTGTATACAAACATAATTGAATAATTTGTCATTATCAAAATGCAATCTATAGAGTGAACAATAGGTTGTAAATAAATTATGTAAAATTAACCATATCCAATTATAATTACTGTTTTTCTTTTTAAAGAAATAACAATTAGCAGTACTCTTACCTGAGAAGTAATATGTTATTAATAGTGTAATAATATTATACATTGTTGATTTAACAACTCCTAGATAGAAGATTGATTTTTCTTTTGTATTCCATTAATATTAGTTCAGATAACTCTTTCATTAATAACAAATAAACATGTTGATACAAAAATAATTAGACGATGAAAATAACATTGAAAGGAAGAGACAATGACATTAAATAAATGATTTGGAGTATACAATGATATAGTGTCATGAGTGTGGAACAAGTAATCCTTCATGAGTGAGAGTGTGTGTTGGTTGAATGGCGCTTACCTGAGTGGACATCATCTGCGAGTGTGGGGGCGGGGGTGGCTGGGGGTGCTGGGGGGATGGCTGTGATGAGGGGTGTGTGGGCGGAGATGGTCGCATTGTCGAGTTGTTCTGCAACAAGCAACGCAAACGACAGACATGTAGCAACACTGCGATCCAGGCAACAGCTAAACTAGAAGGCTCAGGGATGATCGTGTTAATACTAAATATTCTTCAACATTTTACAAATACGTTGATTGTTATTTAACGAACAAAGAACTCTACATAGTAATCTTTCAATAAATAGGATTTCATTCTGTTGTATGTACATTTCTTATCACATTTCATATTGTAATGTATAATATAAACAATATGAAGCAATATATTTATTTGCTTTATTATTATTTCTAAGAACTGGAATAATTGATTGTTCTGTTTTTTATTATTTATAGAATATTTCGAAATTGTTCAAATTATTTTAAAAAAGATAATTCTCTTGATAAAAAAAAGCTATATAATTCATATATAGATTCCATTAAAAATAATTAAAAAAAAAAATATATCCAACTAAATGTATATACTAAAAAAAAATAATTAAAAGAGAGAAAAAAGGGAACTTTATGAAAATAATAAATATGTATATAAAATCAAATAAAAAAGGAAAAGATAAACTAAAACAAATAAAAATGCAAAGCAATAATAATGTATGAAATGAAAGCATAATAGCATAGCTCCATAAATTGATGGAATGAAAATGAAATGAAACTTAAATTTCTATAAACATGCACAACATTGCTTAATAATAATATAATAATAATATTTAAACAACATAATACAACAGATCTGAAAGACAACCACCTTATATTATACATTGTACGTCACAGATAATTATCCTTTGTTAAAAAATAATTACAATTTTTATTTCCTAACAGACATAGGTTCTTTTTGAACAAATTATCATGAATCCATAAATTATATAGCTTTCTTTTGCAACTTTTTCAACGAAGTAATTTTTCTCATATTTATAAATTTAAAGTCGTCCCACGTAAGAATAATTGAACACAAAGATAATAAAGATTTGAACGAGCAACATACGCATAACTATATTTGTCTTTTTTTTCACGTGTATATAATATGCATATATACATATGTACAGATGTATATTCATACGTGTATATTAATATGTATATACATAAAGCTTAATTTTTAAGATGGTCAATAAAATTGTATCGGTTCCATTCTTTAAATATAAGGTTAAAATTTATAGCAATATTTCAGGAGACTGTACCATTTTGTATCACATAGAAAAATGTTAAACTACTATATAAGGAAATTTATAAATTATATTTCCTTAGTATGAGAATATCCTTGGCTGACTAAATCAAATTAACACAATGCACTTGATTTGCTTTTTTTAATTATTATCGTATAAAATATATATTTATATCTCTCTCTTTTAAAGTTTGTAAAATAAACATTTAGCACAATGCGCAAAGGCCACAGTAACATTTGTTAAATAGGAAAAACATGAATATTACATACATATATACACATAGCATATACACATATTATAGAGATTCTAGAAATATTTGATCAATGTACTGATAGCCCTTTTTTTAAAAAAACAATTAAAATATATGCACGTATATTTTATCAATCGTCCTGTAGAAAAATTTGAAATTTTATGAAGTAGTAGAAAAAGAAACTTCGAAAAAAATAATATCAGCACAAGGTCTAACACTCAATCGAGTTTATGTGTATACTATATTGGGATTTTCGAGCTAGTACTATTCTAACACTTATATAACCCTTGTCTGTGTGGAGAATGTCTAGATTTGTGTTATTCACTAAAGAAACAAGATAGAAAAGTTAGAACAAGAACGCACATACAATAGTTAAATACATAGCAAAGAGAAAAGGAAATATATATGTAAATACAGTGTAACAAAGCATAACAAGAATATTATTTCATTATACGTTTGTGTATTAAAACGAACATATAACATAAAAAGTATATATGACAAGAGTATCATATTAAGATATGCATTTTTCTTTCAAATATGATCTTTCTTCATTTTTCCTAACTATTAAAGTTTTCTCGTATATGTTCATTTGACAAATGATTATGTACAAAATCTTAAAAAGAAAATTTCAATTCTATCTGTATATTGTTACACGTATTTTTTAATTGTATAAAATTTATATTTATCATTTTCAATATATTTTCATAATATTTTTTAATTCAATTATATATCCAAGTAATACCTTTGCTTGATATTTAAATAATTATATTATCCTATTGACTTTTGATAATATAATATAATTGAACTATTTAATTATCGACACAAATAGTCTTCATTTTTTACTTTTCTGTAAAAACTGCAAACATGCCCCTAAGAAATTGAATAAATCGTTATTTGATGAACCGTTAACGTTACTAATCTCCTTATTTTTGTCTCTTAAATATACAATTCAACGATGACGATATGAGCGCACGCACACACAGATACATGTACGTGAGCAAGATGTGATTACGTGCATCGTAGCAAAAGAGCTAAGGGATATAGTATGACTACACTTATGTGTGTTTGTGTAAATGTAATGAATGAATATGTATGTTAAACATAATAATGGTAAATGACAAATTATTTACATGTTGTCGTTTATATATCTTAGTTAATACTTAATACTCTTTGTAAAATATAAGAAAATACATAATTAATAATGTATCTTTTATCGCATTATTCCTATAAAATATTCACACGATTATTATTATTCTCGCGAATGTATATAATATATTACCACTTGTACTTTCGAATTAAAACTTTCAACATGAAAGTATACTATAATTACAAGTAGACTTACAAGATTATTAGTTTAAAGAAGCAAAAACTTACAGGGAAAAATGCTGGAGGCATTGGACCGCCAGGCATACCATCATTTGGTGGCATCTGCCCAATTGGGGATGGCGCTGGGCCAGCATTCTGCAAGAATTTTTAGTTATAGATCGTCAAGGAATATTTATTTAATAAAAATATATTTAATTATTTATATATAAAATAAATAACTATATAAATAGACATAATTAAACACTCACATGTGCAATCCCATTAACACCATATCCACTGTTTACAAATCCCTACGATAATGAAATTTATCGTATTATTTTATTATATAAGATGTTGAAAAATGTTATCACATAAAAATATTTACTAAATAAATATACAAAACATTTAAAAGATATGTTAAAATTACTTACATAATCATGAAAAGCTTTGGCCTCACTACTATGTTCACATGAGTCTCGTCGTTCAGGTGCAGCACAGTATAGATCCCAAAAGACACTAAGAAAATATTATATAAATTATATACAAATGAAACATTTTTTAACATCGCAATGAATGTTTCAAATATCTGATTTATGTCAAATTTTAAATTTGAATAAACTTACCACCACCATGAATGCAGAAACCCAGGTGGTTCTCCAAGCGTTATATTTTTCTCCCATCGAATCTACATATTGATAAAATATAATTAATACTTGTATATATTTGATACAAGAAAGTAGAATATATCTAAACCATCTCTCTTACCTCTGATAAAAATGTTTGTGCTGCTTTTTGTGCGCCAACATGAAGAAGGTACTCGTATACGTACAAAGCTAATCTAAAAGAACAATAATGTTAATTAATTTTACAATAAAACAAATTATCCCATAGAAAATATCTATCTTAAATATTGTGTATGTTGTGAGAAGGCATTCACATAAATTATATGTATAAATGAAAAGTATAATTTCAAGATTACAAATGACTAAAATTCATTTAATTCTTATATATAAACAATCATTACTTATTCATAATAATAATAATTAATTAAATTAATAACTGTTAAAAATTTTTGTTACTAACACATAACCACAAAAGAGTATAAACCATTTCTTTAACGAAAGATGCAAATATGGCGTTCGAAATTAAAGTTCTCTGCCAATCAAACGACTCTATTCAATGACAGCGTACATTGAAGACCGCGTGAAAGCAGGTTATACGGCGAAATCTTAACTAAATACCTATCAACACGGACGGCACGCTATACTTATACCTACGAACTAATGAAAACAAAAACTTTCTACAGTTTCCATTTAACATTTAAAGCTCTAATTATTGATCTAATTTAACAATACGTTTCTAAACAATCATGAAAAACTATATAATTGAGATGAACGTTGTAAAATTATATTATGCGTTCAAATATTGTAAAGTTCCGAAGTCAGCCATTAAGAGATGATCTTTAAAGTTAAAAACATCAATTACTACTGTAGAATTTCAATAATTTCTATGAAATCTGACGGACCGGTCGATGCACATGTTTTAAAGTATCGCACGATGTTACAAAGTAAGAAAGAGAGAGAGACAAATAAAGAGAGAAAGAGAGAAAGAGAGAGAGGGAAGGAGAAAGAGAGGGAGAAAAAAAAGGAAAAATGGAGTCACTCGTCGATCAATCGGCACAAATAATGCGATGAAAAGATGAACTTCGATTAGGTAAAAATACGTACTTTTCTCTGGCTTGAGCATCCGATGGTACGCTGGACCCCTTTGTCTTCGTGTACATCGTGATTTGCCAATCCTTCCAGCATAAACACAGTACCGTCGTCAAGTCGAGAAGTGAGCAATGTCTGTCTGCTGCAGGTATCGTACGAACGAACAGGAGGAAGAGAAGTGTGGCGGAAGGGGAGAGAAAAAGAGAAAGAGAGGTGGGAGAAGAAAGGGAAGGGAAAGAGGAGAGGAAGAGGAGGAAGCGGACGCGCTCTTGGCTACCTTCGTATCTCCGTGAAAATGGGCACAGAGTGGGGGAAGGGACTAAGAAAAGAAAGAGAGGTAAGATTCTAAAAGGAAATAAAAGAAGAAAAAGTCGCGCGTATGATAAACGGAAGGACGTAACGAAGAAGAAAAAGAAGAATAACAAGCGCAGCAGGTATCGGTAAGCTTTTCAGGGAATTTTCTTCTCTTCGTGTTACTTATTTTTCTTTATCGTTGGCGTCTCTGACTGCGTTTTACAACTAAACGATCGAGGCGCAGACGCTTTGCCTCATGGTACGACAACGAATTGTAGAAAGAACAGAGCCGCGCCGTTCCCAACGCGCATCCTCATATTAGTATTCCTTTTTTCATATGTTGTTTTCTTTTTTACACACTTTTATCGTCAAATTTAGTCTTTTATTGTATAGTTCTTATTCAGCTGTTGGTTCCGTTACTCGTCGAACTCGAAGGGTCCAGCTCTCGGGTTTCACCTTTTGATTGCTTTACAATGCTTTTCTATCGCCTTCTCTCGCTCACACGCTTTCTTTTCAAGGCTTTTCCTTCCCCAATGGAAATCGTGGCGCGTCTCTCTCTCTCTCTCTCTCTCTTTTATTTTCTTTCTCTCTCTCTCTCTCTTCTTGGCACACAGCGCAACGATAGTAAAGTTGTCGTCGTCGTCGTCGTTGCAGGTTTGGTCACTTCACTCTCTTCGCTCTTTTCCCTTCGATATGCCTCTCGCCTCAGCACACCTCACCTCACTTCACCTCACTTCACCACACTTTACCTCACCTCACCTCATGCGTACCTATCAGTCAACTCTAACGCACATACACGTGCACGCGTTTCTAGAAGAGCACGCGCAAGCAAGCAAGCACAGGTAATACACATATACTAACAAAGGAGAGGCAAGCGCGCGCGCGCGCGCTCACACCGATTTAACGTTGTATTATCGTCGTTGTCCGTTGACGTCGCCGCGATCGTCGTCTCTTCGTCGTTATTATCGTTACTATCGCGCTGTTGCCGCCAACATACACGCTAGTTTACGAATTTTTCTCTATGAGTTCTTCTTTGTCGTCCCTTATTTTACCCTACACTTACTTGAAATTGACTACATGCGTTATTGAAAAAATCTAATATTCCAAGGCCCTATCGTTGCATACGCGCGTTATCACACGAACAAGGACGAAAGGTAATATCAGGATAACACGTATGCGCAGAAAGAGGAATTGAACTCTAACGGCGTGTAACACGCGCACAACTTCACAAGTGTACTACCTACCCTTTCGGTTTCGCACGCGAGGAAGACGAGGCCGATATACACCTATACACCTTCCTGGATCCTACTCCCTCTCTCGCTATTTTCTCCCCACCTTTTAATTCCCATCTCTCTCTTTCTCTTTCTCTGTCTCTCTCTCTCTCTTTCTTACCTTCTCTCTTCTTCTCATTACAATACATCTCTACGTAACTCTCTCTTGGTCTTACAAAGAACGTGGAGGGTGCGCGCGCATCTATTTGTCCCTTATCCAGGGCCGTACGAACATTTTTAAATTTAACAAAGTGTGTCTCAAGTATAACGACCTAATACAGGTTCGCAAGCAGCGTTCTTTTATACGTTTTTTTTTCATTTCATTCATTCATTCGAAAATAAGTATATTTTATTTTATATTATTAAAGTACTTTATTATTCGATCATTTCTCATGTTTGTGATCTCTCTGGTAAAGTATTATACATTCTTAAACGCTATAATAACAGTACTAATTGTAAGAGCCTTTTAGCTTCCATAAAGATTTTCTTTAAAATTCAACAAGTATAATAAGCATAAAACTACTTCTTATATTTTATTTACTCTTCTTTTCAATTTTGATCATAAATTTACAAATATCTATAATTTTATTTAAACCAAATTTGTTTTATAATAAATATATTTATTACGAATTAATATATATATATGACCATATGAATAATAATAATATCTTTTAATAATTAATATTGATTTAGTTGTGTTCGTTTTTTTTGGAACGCGTAAAAGTATAATTTTCCGTAATATTAAGAATAAGTATAAATATCTATCTATGTTAATACGGCCCTGATTGCATCTCTGCATCTTATTGGACGTGGACTAGTGCATATACGAGCAATGTCCTGTGGCGTGCACACACCCTTGAAATCTATCGGCGCGTGTTCGCTAAAGAGTGGGAGAATCCGATTATAGCCGAACGTTACCGGATGTGCCCGACACGAAATAGTCGACAATTGACGAGGCGTCGAGAAACCCAGAAGGGAGGAGACAAGCTATTCTCTTGGGTGTACCGCTTCCCTCTTTGCAACGTTAACCTGAATAATTATTCTTTAGCATATCTATAGCATAAGTATTTTAAGCGGAATGAAAACAAATATGATACGAATAAAACTTAATTAAATAAATGTTTAATATTATTTCGAACCTTTTTACATTATGCCATTACATAATATGTAGATGAGATCTCTTATCGTCATCCGGTATAACATTGATTACAAAATATTTTTTTTTATTTGATAATTTTATTATTATCATATTCTTATTTAAATAGAAAGAAAATATTTAATCTCATTTATATAGAATATTTAATTACATATATGTTTTATATACTTTGACAAATTCTTTTTATGAACATCAATATGAGAACTATATTTAATATTTCGAATTATGAATTTGACTCTTATACATTTTACAATATACTTTTAAAATGTTTATTAATTTTATTTACAGTAATGGATGGTCCAGGTACGATTTCATGGGATGAATTTATAGAAAATGCTGAAAGTTTTATTGCAGTCTCTAATCAGATTTCTGATGGATGGCAATTATGCGGTGATAAAGTAAATATATTTAATTAATCAATTACCTAATTCATATGTTTGTATATGTGCATATATATATATGAAAATATATATTTATTTTTGTTGTTGAAACACACTTATTACAACAGTTTTTACAAATTTTTTTTCATTAATAATTAAAAATATATTATACGCGAAAAATATATTTCTGTAAACTATTTTTTTTTTACTTTTTCGAGAGATTACACCATTCGGTAAAACAGAACATGATTGTGATAAAACGTGAAAATGATCATTTAAAAAATTATGAATGATTATTATAATCAACGTTCATAATATTTGTATATACCACATGATAAATAAGAAGTTTAAAATAAACAATTTTTATTAAAATTATTGATGAAGTTCTGTTTTATCGACTATGGTTTCAGTTGTAACAAGAACGTTGCGCGATCTATCACATAATCAGTGAACTATGTAAAACATATCGACTAAGTTTAAATTTTTGAATTTAAAAAATAATACTAGATATACCTTTTTTATAATACTAATTTATTTTTCAGAATAATTTTTAATATGGATTTTTATAATATATATTTTTTTTAGAAAGTACCTACACAAGCATACTTGATACGACAAAAAAAGCACTTTATTCGAGATGAATTGGACATAGAAAATTCTACTTACGTCGAAGATTGGAGTGACAAACTTTGCGAAGATCCATACGAAGCTTCATTTACAAATGAAAGACCTTTAATTCTAGAACATCACATTTTATGGTCTATGAGCTATAGCGTGCCAGTACTTTATTTTAATGGATGGAAATCAGGTGATCTAAATTGCAATTAATCTACGATCATTAAGCTCTTCTTTTTCTATATAATTTGGCGAATAGATATAGGTACGTATCTTCATAATTGAAATTAGAATAATAAAATAATTCGATCTACTTATACAATTATGAAGATTTAACAATTGTTTGTTTAATTCACATCGATTAGGTTTCCTAATAATATGAAATATATCGTTAAAGTCCTTGAATATTCATGATTCTAGTAGAACGTGTAGAATTGTCGAGTGTTAGTGGCATTAAAAAAAATTAACACAAGTTCTATACGTAATCATGATGAAACTACTTGAAAATAGAAATACGGAGGAAATTCTATTGTAGGGTAAAGTTTTATCGTCACTAGACCTTAATCTGTGAAAAAGACGATTATAATGCCGCATTGTTCCTTCTATTGTCGGCTACTTCTTTCGACTATAGGCGAAAAAGTAGATAACGTTGAATATATGACAATCCTGAAGGGCGAGAAATAGGAAACAAAAAAGGGTTAGTTCTCGATATCATTGTTAAAAAAAGAACTTCTTAGATTTATAATTCAACGAGTATTAAAATTCAATTCCGATGTGTGAAATTCGTACGGAATATGGCGCTATTTCAAAACTAGATCACCATTTCATTGTCTATAGGATTAATTTAGTTCCGTTCTAAAGAATAAATAATATGAGTAACCTTCAGAAATAATGCTTTAGAATATTTTTTTAATGGATGAATAAATATGTCAACAGTGGAATACCAGTATTATTTCGAAACTTTTCATTGTCTACAGATTTTCCCGGGATCAATCGAATAAGTGTCGAAGAAGCTCAAGGACTTATTAATGGTTCTGCTTTAAATTACTCGGAGTTGTCGCAAGTGATTCATCCAATTCTCGGTACACCGTACCTGCAGTTACATCCATGCATGTCGCATGAGCTTCTGCAGCATACACATACGAGGTGAGGGAGGAAGAGCCAAATGAAAAGGGATTGACATACGACCTTGTTTCGTTTTCCTCACAAATTACTTCGCAGTTGTTAATACGGTTTGTACAACTTAATTATCAAATTAACTGGTTATTTGATATTCCATTTTAGCAAAAACAAATTGGTTAGCTGGTTAAGCTTCGTTGCACCAGCGGCCCTACGTCTCGATTTAAGCCAAGAGTATCACAAATTGACTCTGGAAACATAACAAGATGCACACGAATAAACCTCACAATGACTATTACTTGATTCTGCGGAATGGACATGATCCCGTATCAACTTGCATTCTCATACTTCTACCGTAACTATACCAATATTTGTTGTCATCTCTTTAATTTGATATTTAAAAAAAGAGAAGAAATATAACAAATAATCATTTTTCATAACAAATTACAGATATGTTTGTTAAATTTTATCTTCTGTTATGCAAATTTGTATTATATTAATTGATTTGGAAAGCGAATAAGATATAAGAAAAAAGCGCAATTATTTTTCTGTACATAAACTATGCGTAAATGATTAAAATATACTAAAACTGAATGTACGTATTTTTGAAGGTGAACAATTATTCTCTTTAGTAGATGTTATTAAAAAGAATTAAAAGCAACTGTCGAAAGGGAGAGATTCGTAGGATCGCGTCGGGTATCAGCAATAGCACCTCCCACTACTTTCCGCGCGCTTTTCGAACTCGCGGATCGAACCTCGAGCTCGAACGAAGGCGCGTTGCACAGTCTCGCGATCGTCATCGCGTAGAAACGTGATTCTCGTTTACGATAGTTACCACCACGACGTCGGTTTTACTATTGGCTCGTATCTGATGTCGTGACACAACTACTGTGTCCTTGTGAAAATATATAAAATGCAATTATTGTGAATTTATTTATTTCTTTTTTTTTCTTTCTTTTTTCGCATATATTTTTGTAAGAACGAATTCTTTTTCTTCTCTTTTTTCGCAATTTCTACGACCCGTTGGTAAAAGAAAAGAACGAATTTCAAGGAGGACTCTATCTAGCGTATGTATATTTATTTATCGACATGTTAAAAATCGAATGATCGTACCTATTCAATGTACGTACTCATGGAAATCGATACAGAACAAACAATCGTACTTTAACATCTATCGTCCTATCACTGTTGTTTTATCATTACGATTTCTACTCTCATTAGTTTACGATTATCGAGCTATTGACATTTTTTTAGATCATTTTAATCTATCTCTAAGAATAACTATTTACTATTTCCAGTGTGATCCTCGAGCGTTCCTAAAAAATTGCGAGTCTACTTGTTGCGTCTGACTCGCCGAATGCTCGACGAAACTCAACCTGAACGAATGCAATTCATTCGGTGACAGATTTTTGGCATGTTCGCGAACAGTATTTTCATCGTTAACTTAGACTTATTCTATAATTGTTTTTTTAATCAGTTTGACAATCGATAGATCGTTGAAAAAGCAAAAAAAGAAAACGTATAACTGGTAACGGATATTTTCTTTCTTATTTTGGTACATTATAGCACCGATCGGATGATTATAAATATATAAAAATTCTCGATTTTGATCGAACATGGAGAAATAATGGAAGTATTTACATATTCAGATTTGAAGATTAGAAGAAGTTTGTCTATCTACGAATAGATAATCACGAACGAGTTCTCTGCGTGATGACCTATCATCAACGATGTACTTCGCGCGTTAGCTTTTGTTCATTAATTCTCCACGTACTTACGTTTGTAAACGCGTATTCGACTATGCACGTAGACTTATTCGTCCATTTGTAATAATCATTGCCTCGTACTACTAGTCATTCTTCATCTTTCTTATTTTTATTATTAATTTTCTTTTCTACTCATCATTGCTTCTATCATAATTTTATGTCTTTCTTTTTCTCTCTCATAAAACATCTTCGATAGGCGACACACACGAGAGCATCATCGATGCAGCTCTTCTCGGAGATTAATTAAATGCCGTGCGAAATAACTCCCCCGTGTAATAGGCGAAGGTTATCATCAAGGAATATAACAGTTGCTACGATCTATCCTCTTGTGATCTTATGTAACACATTTTTCTTTGATTTTTTTTTCATTTTTCTTTGTTTTTCTCTTCATCAACGTCATTCGTAACGAACGTCATTAATGTTTTTAAGGATAGATCCAAATGAAAAATAGATAGATAAAAGATTAATTTATAAATAATATTCACATTATCATATTAAACGAAAGAAAGAAATGATTTGTTTCTATTTATTAACGAGGTTATCGTTTCATCGTTATATATAACTCCTATTTGTAAACGATTAGTATCGTTAAAAATATATTTCATGAGATATGTTCGCTTTAAAAATTGTGTGTCTATATACAAAATGATATAAAAGTTCTTTAAGCGATTATCTAAATCAATTACTTGTGTTCGAGACTGTATATGTTAATTTTTATTGATCGTAAAACTAAAAGTCTTTATAAGTAAAAAACAGAAATAATTTATTAGTATAATCGGATATAGGAAAATTGATGCACATTTCGTATAAATGGCAATTAATATTTAATTAATAAAATTAGTTTCAATATCACGTTGTAGAGGATCGTGAGAAAGTTAGATAAATAGCGGACATTGACGGATCGGTGGCGATTTAAATAGTTTAAAATTTTTAACGAGCGTTCCGACAAAAAAGGACGTACTTCCTCGGACTAATCGGATCTACAAGAGAGTCAAGAGATAATAGATTCAAATTGCATCACTGTACCAGTAAGAGGGACCCGTCGTTGCTATTTCTCTCTCTCTCTCTCTCTCTCTCTCTCTTTCTCTCGTAAATATATAACTTGATGAAAAGTAGGTGTAGTAATAAGCAAGATGGGCAGGCCTTGACCCGCTTTCCGTGACCGGCTCTGTTTCGTAGTTCCGATGATCATCTTCGATGAGCTGCTGCGTTTCAATCTTCTCAAATAGTCTATTTTTTCGTGTATCATTGTGGAAGATTAGAGTACGATTCTCTACAACTGATTCTGAATCCTTATTAAAAGGAAAGAAGAATTATAATTAAGCCTCGTTAAAATTAGTCAAATCGTGTATTCTATTCTAAGAATCAAATTGACAATGATAGGAATACATTGATCAATTGTCAGAATCCTCAATCCAACTTGGATAACGTAAGAATAATGTAATTTCCTATTCTAATACCACAATATAATTATTTTGCTCTTTCAGATAACAAAAGGAAGGAGGAAGATAGTCATTTCGCAAAGAGATCATTCGAGGTAGTCTTTTTGAACGAACGCTTGCTGTTACCGTTTGCCTAGTGGTCGATCATCGGCTCGTTGATCGACGCGTTGATCCGGCTCCCTAGGTGGGAAGTTCAAAGCGGAAGAAGAACTTGGGGGAGAGAGAGAGAGAGAGAGAGAAGGAGAGAAAGAGAGAAATCGGAAGAGAGGAGAATCTCGAGTACTCCCGCGCGTTCATCGACGGTTATGTGGTGTTTAACCCCGTTAGAATCCAGCGGATCGTGAACAGATCGAGAGCAGCCGAACAATAGAGCCCATCGTTCACCACCGGTGCGACATTTCTCGATGGGTTGCTCGTGATCGCTTGCGCGTATTTGTCCGGTGTCTATATCGCATCACTACTGCGACAACCACGACTACGATCACGACCACGACCACGACCACGACCACGACGACGACGTCGACGTCGACGACGACCAAGAGGAGGAAAGAAGAGGAAAGAGGTGGTGGTGGTGGTGGTGGTTCTGGTGCTGGTGCTGGTGGTGTTGGTGGTGAAGGAGGAGGAGGAGGAGGTTGTGGTGGTGGTGGTGGTGGTGGTGTTGGTAGAGGAGAGGATAGGTCGTAGCGGCAGGAAGAGATCGTCGTTATAGGGGGAGATCGCCATAGCTGATCGTACCACCCAAGGTGGCACAGATTGAGAGGCCCCATCAGCGTAACATCCTCTCGACAATTCGAAGCATTTCGCGAACTGCCGTTGTTCCTCTCTTTGATATCACCTTATTCATTTCTTTCCTTTCTCTATCTTTATTTCCATCTCCATCTCTTTTCTTTCTTTTTTTCCCATTTACTCCTTTATCCCATCTGACCTAAAGTTGAAGACTCTTCCTGAACATTCGGACGCAACACAATTATTGGACACGTGAGAGAAAAGGAGAAATCTCCAACAAGGAGAACACCCTTTTCCTCCTCTTTCTCCTCCACTGTTCTATCACCTCTCTTCTTCCTACCCACTCGATCTCGTTCTTCTCGTCGAGTAACAGCACGCATCGGACACTTCCGGCTTTGCGGAAGCAACGCTCCATGTGAACGACTGACGGGGATCACCTCACCTCTCTCGCGACTCAATCCATTCATCCAACAACGATTTCGTCATGGAGACCGCTACCGAACTGTACGTATAACACCCTGTCTCTTTTCTCTTCGTTTACTTATCTCTCTTTTTTTTTTTTTCTTTTTTTTTAATCATTCGCGTCATATACTTGGAATATACATAAATAATTTTATTATTCTTAAACAAGATCACAACAATATTTTCTGTTACTTCTTATTAATCATCTTTATCGTGCATGTACTGATCTTTTCTAGTTATAAAAGCATAAACTTCTCTCTTTCTATTAATTGACTCGTTCGTTCTTCATAGAGATAACAACGATTTATTCAGCTCTATCTATCTTTTTCTCTTTATTAGAAAATAAAAATATTGCACAACTGCAACGCACGTGTAGTGCCGCATGGAACGAAGAAGTTACGTTGCTCCTCCTACTTCCTTTTTTTTTTTTTCTTTTTTATCTTCTCTGATATTTAAATTATAAAACTCGTTCTCAAGTGTATGTACAACCGTATATGTACAAGTGTGTTTTACGATTAGGTCGACTATCTATGCGCATTAAAAGATTTTGTCTTTCACGATTTCCCAAGAGTGAAAACGATTAATAGAGAAAAATTTATGAAATTCTAAAAAGGACGGAAAGTAAATTACGTGTAACGTTGATGTAACACGCTCTTTCTCGAGAGAGAAATTGTTACATAAAACATTGAATTATTTTGAGACTCTATTCTCATAAAGAAATTTTGATTTGATTTTAAGTGAGAATTTTGATAGATTGGAAAATATATCTATCCTTTCGTTAGAGATTCTTTGATCTATTGACTACATCGCTTACGTAACTTTGATGAAGGACGTTACAAAAGGAAAAGTTAATCATTAAAAGTTATTCAAACGACAAAGTGTTGTTGGTTGATAACGTAACTGGATATCAATACTCGATCAACAGCCAAATTTCAAAATATTGTTCCACGAAGCACACGTAATACATGTATATATATATATATATATATATATGTATAACGCATATTTTCAATTCGATTAAATAAAATAGAGATACGCGTGAAATGATCGTTGATTGTGCTCGTAATTAAAAAACGTAACGTTTCTATCTGTTATTAGCGATTTTTTATGGTCGATCAAGCGTGAATAATTAGATGAGGTAATCGTAACTTATTAAAGAAAAGGCTGCGTAATTTTCAATTTCACATTTTTATCGTAATTACACGGTTCCTTAAGAGATTCAATTGAAAAATTTATTTTCATCGAATCTTATGATTATTTTATTATCTTTATTATCTCGTTCGAACGTGTTGCGTTTTATTTTGTTCTTATAGATTTTTTTGGCACGGGTAAATGCAAAATGCTATTATTAATATTTGTATAGAGGCAATAAAAATGAAAATTGTAATGCGCATATTTTTGCAAACTGAGCGCGAACGATGATACGCGTGCGTGCGGTTTAATTGTTCACAATATCTGTAATAAACTTGTAACTATATCTCGTTATATATGTTTCGCTATGTAAAATGTAGTATATATAACCGAACTTGATCCTTATTGGCCTGGAATATGTTATAATCTGCAAATAAACGCGGAGATGTTCGTTTGAATTTCATTTTGACATCACTTATTCCTAAATATTAAATAGCGCATATAACAATGATTATAACAACGACGTACAATGTTTTCTCGTACGACAAAACTTCCGCATTTATTTTTGTTAAATTATACAATGGGAGATAATATTTTTGTTCTTGACCATTGATGTAACCAAATTTACTTAGAGAACGAGTTGAAATAAAAAAATAAACAACAATTACGTATAAATTACTGTCGAATTTTGAAGAAATTTATGATCCATATAACCGCATCCAAAAACACTTGGAACCACCACGAAATTTGATCGTTTTAAATGTTTGTTTAAATGCGTACGTTTTAAGAATAAATCATCTATTGAAACAAAGAAAAAAGTTAGCAAGGAGAGTACGAAGAATTACGATAAATCCCTATTCAAAATGACCACCACCGAGCAGAATATATAAATGCGGCCTTGAACGAGCATAAGCGTCCACGCATCAATAACAAAGTATCTCTCGCATGCTCGTATACTAAGCGTTGTTAGAACGCGATAAGCATCTTCGAGTTGGAACACAAATTTGTAGACATCAACGAACGCGACATCAGTTACGAGAAATTGAAACTGTTCTTTTTCTTTTTCTTCCATCTAATATATATTGATTATTTTGTTCTAAACCATATTCGACGAATGCTTCATCTTTGAAATATGATAATTATCAACGTGTCAAAGTAGAAAAAAGAAAATGAAGAATAAAGTTCTACGCCAAGATTTGGCAGATCTTGTTCGCCTTGGCGAACTTCGATTGGCAGAAAATTCATCCGGTTTGGCTGCTTTCCTAGCTCGTCTAATATTCTCTTCCTTAGCTAACAAAGTAAATAGACTTGTGAAGTTCAACAGACAGTCTTTCTTTTTCCCCTACTTCTTCTTTCTCTCTCTCTCTCTCTCTACGTACATACGTACATACATACATACATTCATAAAATGAGGGACTTAAAATTCATACAGAAGAAATGTAAAAAGAAGCATTCGAAGCATGTGGGTCTTGTTTCGTTGGTAACCGAGAAACGTTGAAAAAATAAAATAAAATCAAATAAACACGTGTCCTAAGTGATCTCTTCTTTCCTAGTTCTAATTCAGTTTGTACTTTCGTAATGTAGAACTACTTTCTTTATTTCTTTGTTAACGAAGAGAAAAGTATCTAATTCGGAGTCTGTTTTACTCTCATTTGTTCATCTTAACCGAACGTATTTGCATTCAACACGGAGGGGTTCCATTGATCCTTTCTCAGCTTTCACGGGTATTCACCGATAGTAGATGAGAGCTTGTTGCACATAGTATAGATACTACACGATCCCTCTGTCATTAATACGTGTCACGAGACAGTAATTTAACACGCACGCATACACGTGTAAGCGATCAATCGTTCGCGAGCGTGTCGTCACGTCCTGTTTTGTGGTTGCACGCATGGTCCAAGCTCATATCAAGACAGATTCATAGACATTTCGATCAATACAAATTACGCGATATCTTTTAAAAAATAATTTATTTTTATTTTACATAACTATATCGATGGAATATAATATATTCTAATTATTCGTCCTTTCGTTTATAGTTCGATCAAAATTAATCATATAATTTTGTTTTTCTTTTTTTTATCCACGTGGCATTATAGAAGAATAAGAGATGTGCTATTAGACTTGACATCCGTGTAACCGTTTATTCGTACGCATGCCACCTACGCGCAATAAATGTCACCCATGGCCCGGACGACGTTTGTCCTACATACGTATCTATATTGGTCTTTTGCGGAAGCAAGAATATTTTCATTTAAATATTATTGTCTTGTATATAAAATAATCAGATCATCATTAACAATGAGAAATAAACTACACGAATTTACACGCATAGATACCTTTATGATGAGCTATGCTCCACAAAAGTTAAATCGTTTAATTTCATGAAGCTTATTGTTAGAATTGTAAAAATAGATATTCAATCGTAATCGCATATATGACGCGTTATTAAGCTCGGTTATAAACATTAAAAGATTCTACTGTATACTGATATATTATATCGAAGAAATTTGTAACACAGAGATAAGAAATTTCATAGGGGGAGGAAGGGGCTATCAAAATGGAGAAAAAACAATGCACAAACTTAAAAATAATGAGCAAACGATTTCATAAGCAACATATCGTATCTTACGTACGACCTCGAAGAAACGCAAATCATTCAGTTTATACGATCCTAGCACATATTATAATTTAATGATGACAGTAAGACTCAAGCGAAGCATGCTCTTTTTATGGAATTTGTTTATTCAAGATACGCCTATGACTATTTCTTCATATACAAGAAAATCGGATAAATGGAGGTAACGCAGTTATTTGTGTTATCTTTTCACCTGGAAACAAACTGGTATATAAAAATACATATGAAACTTTTCCCTTTGTTTTCTTGGAAACGGTTGAATATTGGATCTTACTACTTGCACAATGTATATGGTTCGGATGGATCCCTAAAATTGAAAAAAATCGGTATCCTATTAATTTGGCTTTCCCTTTATAAGTCGTTAAAGATTTCTTCAATGTCTTTAATTCGTTGACATTCAAAGAGAATTCAAAAAGGATTCAGTAATTTTATATATTAAATTCAATGCGCACATATTTAAAGTCGACGCGTGCCGTTTGTTACACTTATATCAAACGCGTGGCTATTATGCATCGTCAGGTTTGATTTGATCAATCAATGAACTCTTTATATCTGTCACTCTCTCTTTTTCTGTTTTACTATTTGCTATTCAAATAGATCAGAGCATGATTTAATCAACATATCGAATCACTACTGTCAAGTATTTGGACTGCGAACTTAGGATTCTTTTCATTGTCAATAAATTAATCAGTTTTTCAGGCAAACCATTTCATACGAATTCTTTCATATACTCAATAAAAGAATTATTTATTTTTATTATTATTTTTGAATGACATGTCCTATGAGCTCTCTAATTTAACTTGTAAATCGTATTTTATAGATCTCCTTTGTCTGGCCCGGAAAAACAAGGTAGGGTAGAAAGGACATCTTATTATCCGCAAGAGCCAGGTAAAAGGCCGCAAACAAGGAAAGAAAAGATACAATCATGTCTGAAGCACAATGCCTTGACAATGTTAACCGTTGGTGGCGTGGTCGGTGGTGTTACCTTAGGAATAATCCTAAGAAATTCCCGAACCGATAGATTTACAAACCGTGAGGTCATGTATATCAATTATGTCGGCGATCTATTTCTAAGAATGCTCAAGAGTTTAATCCTGCCGCTCATCATGTCAAGTTTGATCTCAGCTATTGGATCCTTGGACTTATCTCTCAGCGGTAAAATTGGTGCACGTGCTATTTCATATTACATGGTCACAACGATTAGCGCTGTCGTACTCGGTTGGTGGTATTTTTTTCTTTATGAATTTTCACTTATTCCATTAACATGTTAAACGCCGCGCCTTAGATTTTCCATGTAAGTCACGTCTGTCACCAATGATCGATATTCTTATCTTTCTACGGCTGGCAGATCATCGTTGCTTATACAGAAAATTCAACAAAAGACGCTTGGCGCTTAACGTGTTAATGTATTCATACTAATCATAATGTATTCTTTTTAGGTATTATTCTGGTCATATCTATTCAACCAGGCGTAGGCAGTACTGCTAGTCATGCTGAAAAAGCTCTTGCTCAAAATTCATCGACCGTTGATACGCTATTGGATTTAGTTAGAAACATGTTCCCTCCGAATCTGGTACAAGCATGTATTTCTCAAATGCGTACAGTAGTTAAGAAACCCGTGGACGGTGACCCAGGTAAAATATAACTACACTTATTCCTTAAAAACTAATACTCATTATAATTCAAATTTGTTATTTCTTTTTTCGTTTTGTATAGACGATATGGATAACTGGGACTTCACCGAAAAGGACATTCCTGGTATGAACATCCTTGGTTTAGTCGTTTTCTCAACCGTATTGGGTATCACTCTAGGAAAAATGAGTCAGGAAGGAAAACCGCTTCTTAATTTTTTCGAATCCTTGTCAGGTGCCATGATGGTAATCACCAATTGGGTAATTTGGTAAGGATCTTGTATATAAATAATAAAAGTTTTAGTAAAATCAAATCATTTTCATTGATGTCTCGTTCCAGGTTGTCACCCGTCGGTATCCTCTTTTTGGTAGCTGCAAAAATCGTAGAAATGGAATCATTGGAGCAAGTGGTCGCTCAACTTGGCATGTATTTTCTAACAGTTCTAATCGGCCTCTGTATTCACGGTTTCATCATATTACCTGGATTGTATTTTGTGATAACAAAAAAGAATCCCTATCGTTATCTATCCAACTTGGCACAGGCATTGGTCACTGCATTTGGTACATCGTCAAGTTCCGCGACATTACCAGTTGCTATTAATTGCCTTGAAGAAAGAAACGGCATTGACCCACGAATAACCAGATTCGTATTACCGATTGGAGCTACGATTAACATGGACGGTACTGCTTTGTACGAAGCAGTAGCCGCAATTTTTATAGCGCAAGTTCGCGAAGTCAGTCTCAGTTTTGGACAACTAGTGGCGATCAGGTAAAATTTTAATTAATTTTCTTTTCTCTTATATTCTGACATTTTACAGCAAAAATAAATTATTTACGTAACCCATCACAAATATGAATACTATATGATATAGTAATTACAATCATTAAAAGAGAGAAGAAAATAGAAACATTTCCTTTGACTCTATCAACCTTTTTAGTATTACTGCAACTGCCGCAAGTATCGGAGCAGCTGGAATCCCGCAGGCGGGATTAGTTACTATGGTGATGGTTCTAGACACAGTACATCTTCCATCGAACGACGTCTTCCTTATTCTCGCGGTTGATTGGCTATTGTAAGCGCATTCTTCTTATTATTTTTTAATTTCAAATGATCTTAACAAATATTCTTTGACAATGTAATAAAACTTTGTTGTCATTTTCAGGGATCGCTGCAGGACGACAGTAAATGTTATGGGAGATTCCCTTGGTGCAGGAATCGTTAATCATTTAAGTAAAAATGAATTATCGGCATTACCGCAACATAGACAAAGTCAAAATGGAGCAGATCACACAATATCGATATGAAATGTGTAAGTGTGTTCACAATTCGAATACAATAATGCATTAGTAGCATTTATTGGCAATTATTTTGCGATTTTAATATAGTCGTTTATTCAATTATAACGTCAATTCCAACGAATTTCTAATTGTGACTCATTTTGCTGTTAAAATAAATCTATTAAAGAAACGTGATTATTCATTGGCTATCTGTATATTGTTTTTAATCAACAATGAATAACAAAAATTGTAATGAGAAGAAATATATATAAATATGTATATCATATACATCATAACGATTTACGTAAAAAATCACGATTATTATGTGCGATCAGTAAAATACTGCCTATCTTATTGGAGCTAGTTATTTCAAATGTGTTCTCTCTTTTACGTAGCATTGATATATATTTATATCGAAAATTTTAATAACATTAATAACAGATCGCGATCAATTTATTTTAGGATCGTTATTATACGACTATTTTAGGTTTTGATTTAGTGTTAGAAAATAAATAATAGTAATATAATAACGACAATAATTACGATAATACTCGTTTCTTGAATTACTCAATAGTGTTCTCTATAGTCTCTTTACTTGTCTGATTATAATATAATATATATAGTATATTATTTTGAATCAAATACGTAGGTGAGCTGACAAGTTCTCAGCCTTACATAGAAATAATGTTTTTTTATCAAACAAACTTTTATTTAAAAGAAAATAAAAATCTTTTTTGTTGAGGCTCAAAATTTTTCAACCCACCTATGTATATTGGTCTTGGTTCCAACATTATTATCATTAAATTGGTATATTTATGTAAAAATATAACATACATTTGCTAACTGACAAAGATAATAGGTTTTCTATACATATATACGTATATGTATACATAAATAGACTTTGAACAACAAATTTCAAGCTATTTAAATAAAGTTCTAATTGCAGCATTTTTCGATCCTTGCTGATTGCAATGATGAAACCTATAAGCTTACCTATTATGATTGGATCAATGCATATATATATATATATATATATATATATATATATATATAAATGCACATGCAGACGATTGAATATAGTATGGCATTGACTTTACTAAATTTAATAATGCGAAATAATGTCCATTCCATGGTATAATGTTAAAATGTATAGTAATAATACATGTTATCATTAGGCATTTAATTTGTCCTATTGTAGTTATGATAATAAAGATATTCAATTATAAGTAACATAAACTAAGATAGAAGAAATAATATTGGTGTTATTAAATATTACTAATTTAATGAACTCTATTGTGTTCATCATATTTTTGTTATATTCTAAACTAAACAAGAAATGGACAGTTTAAAAGTAACATTAATTGATAGTTTATAATTGATTGGTAACGAATATATCGACAATTAATATATATGTAATTTATAATTCACATTTTTTCTGTATAAAAAATAGGATCTGCACCTTTACTTATATAAATATGTTATAGATGCAAAACTAAAAATCATGTACAGTCATCTATACATAAAATAAAAAATTATTGTGCTTACATACAAATTATGTTACAATCATAGCCTCTTACTGAGTTAACGTGTAGACGAATATTTTTTAATATTTATGTTTGTATAAAAATGAATAATGATATATTTTTTTTGTTTTTAGTAGGGACAAGGTCATTTAGAATATTTACGGGCAAAATCTTACCTTCGAATATCAATAAATTAACTTTATGTACATTATACGTGCAATTTAGTTTATTCTCATTTGAGAAAATTATAATTTCAAAAGTTTATTCACAAAAGTATTGTAGTTTGATTTCATTAATACTCTGTTTATCATAAGACTGAATATTTTTATATAATATCTAAATAGATATCCATTGTGTCACGTATCACTTGCTTCGACCAATCGCAACGTTGATTTTAGTTTTAGAACCAATCAGCAGCAATATCCGTCAATATTAATCGAAAGTGATATTGAAATGCTTAAAGGAAATATGAACAATTACTTTCATATATAATAAAACGTGTAAAAAATGATAATATTGCTTTCATAACATATATATATAAATACTTAGTGACGATTAATAAATTTGTTTTTCAGTATTTGTAATGATTGGTATATTTTAATCCACGTAAGAATGTATGTCCAATCATAGCTAATGTTTAACGTTGCGCTGCAATATTAGATTTAATCCACCAATAGAAACGTTCGTAGAGCAAGCTGTTAGGAGTGCCATTGGTACGTCTGATACTACGTTGGACTAAGAGTTAGAAAAGCTTTCTTATTGGTTGTAATACCAAAAGAGAAAAATGAAACGCAATAAAAAATCAAAGAACGCATTTCTCTTTTCATTTGGAAGATCATTGCCTCCTTAGCGTTAGATTAAAAATAAAAAGACGGAGCGCATCGTGATCGGTCGTTAAATAGCTTGGACGAAAGGCTTGGCTTGAGTTGCCGAGCTGTAATAAGATAAAAGCATCGACAGTAGCCGCCCCGGTTCGGGCGTTGCGCGAACAAATCTTCGATTTCATTGGTCCGTTATACCAAAGGCCACATCCGGTAGAAGCACCGCAGTATTGGTCGAAGCCTGCTTCGACAACGACCACGGCAAACTCGAGTGAATTTTGTACACATTGCCGACAAATATCTCTTGTTATATTACGTCCGACGTCTTGTTATAATCGTCGACGATTCATTTGCAAAGAAAGGAAAAAAAATTGCAGCATTATCCCAAAGTACGAAGACTCGGAATGAAAGAGGAACTAGTGATACGAGGAGCCACGATTACGAGCACACACGCGCGTCGCCACTAACGAAAACGGGTGAGGGATTATTGTGCTGTTTGGGTGTGACATCGAGGTTTACATTAAATATATTTCAACCAAGTTCTATCTTCCTACTGGAGTGCGCGAAGAGCAGTGCGTGGTCGCACAGTGCCCTATGCGTGACGGTTATCCGCTTCGTCTCGAATAACGCGGCCGTGCTTCGTGCATCTTTTCCTCTTCCTTCCCTGCCTCCCGCGCGCGCTCCGTCTCTTTCTCGTTCTGCCTCTTTCCCCCACCCCGTCCTCTTATCCATTGGTCTCTCTTTTTCCCCTCTCTTTCTCGCTCTCTCTTTCTTTAGGTGACCGCGAGCGCGGGGAACGAGAGACGGAAGAGCGTTCGTACGTACTTTGTTAGTTGGGAAGAATCTGAAGGGGAACTTCCTCGAGGCTGCGTGTTGCTCCGCCATTGCACGGTAGAGAGCGAAATTATCGCTAAAGAAATACCGCCAATTTTCTTTATCCTTCGCGTGCTTTCGTTGTCTTTCTCTTTTTTCTCTCAGCTCTCCCACTTTCGCCCTTCCTTCCTTCCTTCCTTCCTTCCTTCTCCGTCCGTCCGAGTTTAGATAATGTTCCGTGTACGCGCGTAACGTTTTACTTTCGTATCCACGGTCTTGCCCGACAAATCTACGAACGAATCTACGGAGGAAGGAAGGAAGGAACGAGGGAGCGAGAGCACGTTCGATCGTCCGTTCCCGGCCCCGCTCGTTCCTCCTCCTCGTTTCGCCTAGCCTTGCCTTGCCTTGCCTTGCCTCGTCGTCTCCTAATCCGCGCGTGCTTCGCGCGTACGTGGACGTTGTCCGCTTATGCGACAGCGACAACGACAACATCAACGGCGATGACGACTATGACGTTTACGTTAATGACTACGCTGATGAAAATAATGTAGACCGTAGTCGTTGCTAGTGCATTATACGAGTCGTATTACTTTTTTCTTTGTGCTCCCTGTGTAACGGAAAGTAAAAGAGAGAAAGAAAAAGAATAAGAGAGGGAGATAGAGATAGATAGATAGAGAGAGAAAGAGAGAGAGAGAGAAAGAGAGAGAGAGAGAGAGAGAGAGAGAGAGAGAGAGAGAGAAGGAAGAAAGACGCGAATCTTGCGCGTCATTATGCAATAGAGAGAAGACGGTGGCGCGAGTGTATACGGAAAAGGATTTTTTCTTTTTATTTTTCTACTTCTTGTCGTTTCTTTTATTGGGAGTGATAGAGAAAGAAACGTAGCGGTCGGTGGAGGACGCGCGGCATGTCTCTTTGTGTATTCCTCTTAAACCGTGACGAGAACGTTTATTCGGTTTCATTGTTCAAACAGAGAGATCACGTGGAAATGCGTCGGAACGCTCAACGTGACGCCGACTCGCTCCTTCGATGTCGATAATGATGTCGTTGTTGTTGTAATGTATCATCGTGAAATAGGAGAAACAGTACTGGTGGTGATTGTGACGACGGCAGCAACGGTGGTGGTGGTGGTGGTGTTGTTGTTAGCAGTGGTGGTGGTGGTGGTGGCGGCGGCGGCAGCGGCGGTGACTACGATTACAATTGCGGTTGTAGCAGCAATAGTGGCAGTGCTGCTGCTAGCAGCAGCAGCAGTATTGGCGGAGGTGGTGGCGGCGGCGACGACGCCGACGCCGACGCCGGCTACGATCACGATTTACGAGCAATCACTAATTCTGACGACCACAAGAATATCCTCATTAGCCTTTTCTTAATATCCTCGTCTAGCATTGTTATTTTTTTTTCACGACAGCTCGAAGATATTATCATACTCGAAGGGTATTAATGAAACTTTTCTCTACCCAGCTCTTTAAACTGCTCTTCGCGCGCATCCTTTTCTTTCCTATCGTAATATTATTTTTTTCAATTAAAGTTGGCTGGCAATTGACTATCCTCTTATCGTACGACACACGCTTTTTTGCTTTAGAATATTGCAAACGAAGAACATTTAGAGCAAGGCGAGAAACGCTCCACTGCGCAATACTCTCCCACCGTCTTTTTATTTTCGATTTTGGGAGAGAGATTTGAACACAAGAGGGGAGCCCTACGAGTAGACTTGTTCGTCTACTACTTTGAAAGGCTACTTTTTTTTACAAAACCACATTTTGTCCTCTTCTGTTCCTTGTAACTTTCTCATGTTGGAATTGCCGTGTCATCTTCTCGCTGTCTGAAGAAAGATACGACGTTGATCGTGGAAAATGGAATAATACAAGGCGAGTTTATTTTTCATTTTATAGAATAAAATGCGTTTATCTTTGAACAGAACTTTTACTTTTGATGATTAAACATCGCTATCGGGTCTTCATCAATCTTCTCTTATCTTACCAAGTATATATTTTATATTTGGTACGATCTTTTGACTTTAGAAATTAAATGAAAAATAGTTTATATATTTGTACAAATATCAATAGTTTGATATCGGCCAAAAATCAATCTTGTAGAGTTCTTTATTGATATATGCATTGTCCAATGAATTGCGAATATAGCTTATAAATGACCCAAAAAGAATATGATACAATTAAATTTGTACGTTGTAATTCTTAGATTCGATAAAAAGCTAAATTTGTATTTTTTCTTTTTGCAGGACTTGTAACATACTTTCTATGAATACTTAACACAAAGATGACACACTTAAGTAATTGGAATAACAAGAAATACAAGGGTATATGGTCTATGACTAAAGACACTAAAACATTAAAGAATTATTAATCGAAGAAAGTTAATGTTTTAAAGAGAAAGAAAAAACAGAGGAGATCCTGGGAAATTTGTAACAAAAGATAGAGCCAAAGATTAAAACTATAATGATTAATGAATGGGAGTAGGTGAAGTAGATAAAAAGAGCAAGCATTGGCGCACGTGGGAGCCTCTGGATGTCGAGGCTGCAGTGTTGGCAGTGTTGGTGGCAGTAATGGCCCCTGCTCTGACAGAAGACGGTCCTCAAAAGCCTGAAAATTTGCTCCCATCTCTACCAGCTGTGGGGTTTTTATCCCCTGAGCAGGCTACGCAGGTCTGTCGCGATCGAGAAATTTTGGCAAAGTTCGTTGTATCCGCGAACGTTCAGCCATCAAAAATCGACGAGCAGTACCTGCATGGTGTATCTAAAGATCTTATTCGTTATGTTATTAATTCAAATTACGCCAATAGTCTTGACAATTTATCTACTTACTCACACAGCTCTGACTTGATCTTAAGGGAGATTTTTACAGAGCAGGACTGTAAACGGCCGGTGACGCCGGACAGTCCCAAAAGAAAGGAGACTGATACTATAATGAACGACCCATCTATGGGTGATCAGGCGGACAACATGGGCTTCTTGAAAACGAACGACGATTTATCTTTGGTGGAATCTGCTACTGTTGAAGGAGATAATAAAAATTTGGACGTTGATCAAATAATGGCTTTTGGTACAGAGATTAATACGGACAACGAGCAGTGCAATATAAGTACTGTTGGTGATATTGGACAAAATGTTGAAGAAATTCTTCAAGTTATTAAATCTATAGAATGCACTGAAAATGCTGAAAATACTGCTGGTAGTTCTGAACCTGTACAAGGTTCCATGGACAATGTGGACAGCGTAGAAATGTTTCCAATTCCTGAAGAAGGATTTTCATCGTTTGCAAGAGACTTGCTTACTGATGCTGATGTAATGAGCCTTTGTAATGAAAACATTAATATTCCAGAAACAGTAGACCAGCAAAAAACCAATAGTTTACGTTTACAACAAGAAACTGTTGCGCAGAAACAATTTGAAAATGAGAGGAAGTGCGCATTTTTACTTAGAAGACTGAGAAAGCTTCAAGCACGGCTTGTTGGCAGACATGTTGCTGAAGAGAATACAGGTGTGCTTGAACTTGCTCATCATGGTGTTAAAAAGTGTTTATTTCAAGAATTGGTCAATATTAGTTCCAAATCTAATGTCAGAAATTTTCCTGAAATTAGTGGTAGTTTGAATTTATTTTTACAAAAAGTTGAAAAGATGTGTGTTACTCAAAGTAATAATGCGCATCGTCAACGTTTTTGTTATCGTTATTTTGGTGGTGGATCACGTGATAATTTGGGCAGTACATCTGGTAGTAATGGTAACAGAATGCCAGTTTTTGGTATGCCTCAAGTTAAACTCAACAGTGAAGAAGTTGAAAGTGTGGTAGGACCTTTAGCAACACAGTTACATATTGTAGAATCTAATTTGGATTCGGATTGTACAGCATCTAGTAGTGGCGGAGAAAGCTGTGATGAAATGCAATCATTTAATAATCCGCATCAGCAGCAATTACCAATGTAAGTAATTTTATTTTCTTCACTTATACAAAGATAAATTAAAGATACTGCTAATCTTGTATAAGATCTCAACATTTCATCGAATATTCATTGTTCTGTTTTTAGAAATAATCTATGATTAACTCTTTTAAACAAAATGTGTTAATTATTATCATATATTATAATGAAAGAATTTATAAGATTACAAGGGCACAAGTGTCTAGAATATTAAATAAACGAATTAACATTTTACTGCTGAGACTAAAAACTATATCAAGATTATTCTATCCATTTATCCTGCAAATAAAATCTTATAATCGTTAGGATTGTGTTCTATTATGAAATATTTTATTTGTAGATCTAAAAGAGCAGCATGGAGATATTCTCAAGACCGTGCAGGTATAGCATCAAGGTGGATCTGGTTGCAAGCACAAATATCAGATTTAGAATATAAAATTAGACAACAAAATGATGCCCAACGTCAAGTTAGGGCATTAAAAGGCTTGGTTATGCTTGACAATGCTGAAACAGTAAATGGATATAGCGGTGTTTTGCCTGGTTCTACTGGTCGATATAATTTATCTGAAAATGAATTACCAGCTAGCAGAACTCGTCCATTTTTATGGAATTTTTATAGAAAACGAAAACTATTACAAGTTGAAAGGCTACACGAATTTTCTAAACGTGCGGCTAAAGCATCCACAGTAAGATGTAACTGTGATCATACACTGCCTGCGTGTGCTTTGTGCACAGGAAGGCTAGATCCAACTCAAACACAAGAATCAATCGAGCAGCTTTCTGTTCAAGAGAGGCTAGCACTTGTTGACCCTTGTTATCATCCAGTTCTATCCTTCCCAGATGGTAGGTGTGAATAAAATAACATTTTAATAATTTACTGATTTAAATAAGTAATTATGAATAACTGATTGTTTTATAAAATCTTTCCACTTAGAAAAAAAATTTTTGTTATGCTTTTAGAGTGTTATTCGTTTATATTACTATTCATTACTTATTTAGTTGTTTTGTGCAAGGAATGGATAGTAATCATTTTTTAATTTCTTTTTCAATAATTATTTTCTCCAAATTATAAATTTTAATTTCATCCAGAATTTTTTTTTGGCAGATATTGTTCAAGGAACTCATTTAGAAGCTATTATGAAATCAGCCGAGTGGCAACAAAAAATGCTAAGGGGAAGTACGCGTATTACTCGAATAAAAGATAAAGATAGTAATGAAAGGAGAAACAAAAAACTTCCTGGACATAGAGCAAAATATACTGCACGTTTAAAGCAGTCTTCTTCTAGCATCTTCACAGCACGTATGTTTCAAGATACTATTAAAATTTTAAAACTGATTATAACTATTTGATTTATAGCTTGTATATTAATTTGTTCATTGTTTTTTTATATATAGGAATTAAAAAAAAGATGTTGAAAGGAAAAAGGAATAGACTAGGCCACGAAAGAAACGCAAATGGTTTAAGCCGGAAAAGAGTACCAAAATTGCCAACCGAGGATTACGAAGAAGTTAATGCACTTTCTGGTTCCAGTAAACATTCATCTCCAGTGCCTTCTCCATTACAACAACATACCAATTCTACACTGGAAAAAAATTCAGTAAAAGAAAGAAATTCAACTTCTCATCACGGGTAAAATAAGATATAAAAAATATTTGATGTATTTGTTTTTTCTTACATGTTGTATCTGGTGTGCAAGTAATGCAATTAACATTAAATAAAACCTTTGCAGGCGTTTGAGACAAAACTCTTACGATATAGACAATATTGTCATCCCGTACAGCGTAGCAGCTTCAACGAGGCTTGAAAAATTGCAATACAAAGAAATTTTAACTCCAAAGTAAGTAGCAATTGAACAAAAATGTTTATATATTGGAATTATTAATTTTAATATTATTTTAAAGATGGCGATTGTGCGAGGATCGACCAAAAAGTGACGTAAAAAATGGTATTATGCATAGGCCTAGTCAAGACAGCGATGTAAGTATACTTTTGAACACTGAGTTTTTTCGATCTAAATATTATATTAAAATTTGTTAACGTTATTAATAGTTTGAAGATATGTCGGATGAGATAATTGCTTTGAGACATGAACGAAGTGAACGAGAAGAGAATAAACGTTTTATGACGTATCTCAATACACCACATCAAACACGTATTCGTCACAATCGTCGAGCAGACAGTAGGGCAGACAGTGGTGCAAACACACCAGGTATGTTTTCCCGTTTAAAAAATGGTAAATTAATTTAATAATTTAAATTGTCTTTATATTGAATTTGTTATTTTTAGATCCGATGTCTCCCCACGCCAGTGACTTTGGTGGAGATGTTACGTCTCCGATCATATCTCCACCTGCAACTCCTTTACAAGTACAGGAGACAGAACATCAACAACAAAATTTGGATACACACCGACGTCGTGCCATATCCGTTTTAAGGATAGGAAAGGACGACGTTGGAACTTCTTATAACGAAGATGAGAACGAGGTAGGATAGAATGTTCTACTCTATTAAAAAATTCATTCAATATATAATTCATTATATTTACTAACATGAATGTTTCAATGTAGATTTTACCGTATGAACCACGCGTATTTCCACTGTCCGAGGAAATTTATGACAAAATGGTCGAAGTAATGCCAGACGGACATTGGCAAACTTCATCGGTATCTTTGTGCTCTCGAGACGAAGAAAAAGACGATGTATGTATATCGTTTAAAAATAATTTAACATGAGACACTAATTAAATTCTTTTTGATAAATTAATATTCGAGTATTCGTACTGTGATTATTAATATAACTTTGAGCCAAATTTCATGGCTCCTCGAGGCTACTTCTGGTAAGCAGTTCCAATTGATGCTTTCTAATATTTAACATATTTTCTTTTAATACATATTAATAGATATAGTAATTTATAAAAAAAATAGCGTTTAAATAATATGTCATTATATTTGTCAATATCGTTAGAATTATTTAGTTTGTCTTCATTTATATCTGAATTATTTTTTGCTGCTGCCATATCTATCTGTTAAAAAATATCATTTTTATTCTATCTGCCTCTCTATATTTTCTATACGCCAAGTTTAAATTTTAAAAACTATTTAGGTAGATTTTTCTACATTTTATTTCTAGGATGGGGAATTGGAATCTCCTGAATCTGATTCAACAGAATCTGCTTGTTGTGACATAGAAGGAGAGGATCCTAATGATCCTGAATGGACGGTAGCTGACAATAGGGATACTGAAAAGGAAAGAATACGTCCGACTGCTAAAAGATAGGATAAAGGTTATAAACAATACAGTACATCATCTACATCGTGTCGTTATTATATGCAGAAGCTACCTGTCAATTGTTATATATACCTGCCGGTCATGTAATATGCACCTTAAGTTAATGGTATTACGAATCTGTAAAGTGTATTATAAATATAAATTTTATAACTTCATTTTGCTTAAATCAATGGAAAAACCTTAATTGTTTATTTTTGTTTTCAAATATAACTATTTTGTCTAGTGTTAGAATTGTGCGAATGTAATTGCTTTAGCAAAAAGGTATATACATATAAAAAAAAAAAAGTATAGAGTATATACGCGTGTAATCTTCACTAGAATGTTATGTCTCATTTAGACTTTTTAAAGTTAGAAGAATCTCACAAGATGAATCAGTTTTCACACTGACGGACGTGTATTTATATCATATGAAATTTATAACAAAGTTAATTAAAGACGATTGAAATATTTCTGTTAATGCGTGGACAATATTTTCTTCTTTTTATTTTATTTTTTTTAATTCGACTGAAACGAGAAAAGTTGCTTGAAAGATAGCCAGAATTATATTTGTTAAGAATACGAATCTACTTGATCACTGTGCCTCCTTTCTTTATTATCTTTAACATACTACTCTGTATTCATTGTCATTATTTGTAATTATAATTTTTGCGAATGATTTTTTAGACTGTATGTTACAGCCCATGGCAGTTTTTTTCAAAGGGCTCAGCTCATACTTTTGTAAAAATGAATTTTTAATTTGTAGTACTGTGGGTAAAAACTTAAAATCAATTAAATTATTCTCATATTTTTCTTTTTCTTTTTTTTTCTTCAAAGAACTACATCGTTGATATAATTAAAGGGTAGTTTTGCGAGATATAGTTTTTACTTAATCTACACATTGGGGCATATCACTACATTTGCTATAATTCGCTAAGTATTATAATAATATATAGATATAAGTTATATCTGACATGTAAAATCGATGTTTAATCTTATTTATGCCATATGAAAATAATTCTTTCTAAGTACCCATATATGATCGATCATTGTGAAATAACACAATGAACGCAACACATATTTTTTTTGGTCATATAAATTCACTATCAAAGTATATATATATATATATATTGTTAGCAAATGATGAATATTTATCAATTTTCTTATTCGTTTCTTAAAATAATTAAATGCGATTCGCGGTAGTTTTTGCAAATTTACCCTTCAATTAATAATTATTGTTTATATTAATGAACGCGCGCGCGTGCAAGTAGAGCTTTGATAAAAAGCAAAATATGATCATAAAAAAACTTTTTTATTTTGTTAACATATAATATTATATTACTTTCCGAAAAAAATTGAAAAAAAAAAAAAAAAAAAAAAAACAAAAAAAACTATCCATCTTATAATCAAAAAAAAAAAAAAATAATCAGCGTACTGACCATTATTCTTAAATTCTGTGTACAATTTACGAGGCATTAAGTAATAAATAATTATTATAGATTTGTCACTGTGATTTTGCTTCTTTTTAATCAATCTGTGATACTACTTAATAAATTCTTTATTTTAGTGGCGATTATCAAAAAAATATGCATTTAAATTTGTAAACTATGTTGAAAAATAAAGTTAGGTAACAACAAATGTTCTCACTTTTATATGTGCCTGATGTTTACTATATATTTTTTTATATATCCGAATTATAAAATGTTATTAATAGATAATTAATTTATTCTACCAAATACATTTCTGTTAATCTTATTGCATACACAATCCAAAAGGAAATGCACGTTGATATTTATAAAAGTTGTGCGACATAAGTTACATAATAAGATTTAATTACATACCAAGATTGTCTGCTATCCGTTTCTACCCCATTATATTTAGGAATGTTTTCGTATTATATAAGTATTTTCTTTCAATCACTTGGAGTTTTTCGTAGCTTATTACAACACGGATCACGTAAATTTTCATCTATTATTTTAATATTAAGTTTTTCTATTTCAATTTTACGAGCCAATGATTTATCCGATGGCTCATCTTTTTTAAAAAAAGCACGCATACGAAGAGACTTATGTCGTTTGATGGTTTCTGGGTTGATATGTAAATCATGATCGTCTAAATTTGTAACAGTTACATCTCCTTCTTTCTGATGCATTTCACATGTGCAGTCACGTTTTTTTATATAAATAAAATGTAAATCCATGACGTTTGTACCAGTAAAACCAGTTTTAACTATATTTTCACCTTTCTTATATCGAGAAAAAAAATTGTATGAATTATTCTCTGCTAAAGCATTTTCAGGTATAATACGTTCTACTTCCATAATCATTAATTCTGTCTTATATTTCTTTTCGTATTCATTTATATCAAGCGATTCAATGTCATCTATCTCCTTTGCTATTTTATTTGATTCTTGATCTGTTAATTTAATTGATTTTGATGTCAGATAATCACTGAACATATATCTTTTGCATGGATCTTGATGCACTACTTCATTCCCAGTGTTATCCTCTTTCTTTGATTGAAATGCAGTTATTTCTTGGACTCTTAATGATTTTAAAATCTCAAGTAACTGGTATACCACTGGTGCAAAAGCAGGATAACCGAACGCACCTGCTGCATCTGTTGGCCCATCTTGGCCGTCTGTACCACCACTAAATATTATTACATCGTAAGCTGCAAGTAGTGGATTACTTTTGACCTTTGCTAACCAATCTAAAGAGAAATATAACGCCAATTCTTGATTTCTTCCACCTTTCCCTGTACCAGTAACTTTAACTGTTGGTTCACCAGCAGCTATTAAAACCACACCGCCTCCATTAACATTTTCGATCATAGAATAAATTTCTTTTACTTTCTCAGCTGTTAGAGAAATAATGTCTGATTTATTAACATTGGTAAGAAAATCTTCCATACTTAATGTCTTATTCAGCGTAAGACATATCAGATTAGCCAGATTCACGTATGCTAAGCTAACATCATGAACGTGTCCTTTAATATTGTTTTGTAATATTATTGGTACAAGTTTTCTACGTAAAGCTTCTACTCTTGCTCCTTCTACAGCAGTCATATTATTAGCTAAAATGATGTTATTAACATGCTTGAATTTCTTTTCCGAATTTAATAAAGGTGCATCATTAAAAGTTTCAGTAGACGTAATAAGGTATTTTAAATCGCTTTCCACACTTTTAAATAAACCATATTTTCTTAAAACAGCGATAACTTCTTCTGGCAATTTTGGATTATAAACAGTAGGGCCACTAGCAATTAAATCAATGGGATCATCTATAATGTCAGATATAATGAGAGAAATAATTGAAGCTGGGTAAGCCATTCTAGCAAGGCCACCGCCTTTAACCATAGATAACTTTCGTCTTAATATATTAACTTCAGTTATATCGGCACCAGCATTTTGCAATTCTTTACATAAACGCATCTTATCTTCGGAATCTATTGTAGGTCTAGGCATATAAAGTAATGCAGATCCTCCACCTGATACCAATACAATTAGAGTATCTGTCTCGGTTAATGATTCGACTAGATCTATAATATCATGTGTCGTGTTTAAAGATCTATCATCTGGTTGATTATTTACAGCACCTTCTCTAAATTCAAGCACAGTTGTTTTCTGATTAGGAAAACTAGATGTTTTATCGAACGTCCATATTAAATCTTTAGAGATTTCAGGCACGCTAACTATACCCTTGATCAAATGATTACCAAGTATTTTTTCCAATTCTATAGCCATGTTCATAACGGCTTTGCCGAAACCTACTAAATAAATTTTTTTCCCTATTGAAAATCTTTTATTTTCGATAAACAAAGCTCCATCTTTTAATTTCACCTTGTCTTTTATTATTTGCTTAGGAGAAACAGCTTCAATAGCGGAAAGAAAGATTCCTTTCAAATTGGATCTTACTTCATTTAATAATATTTTGGTGGCCATGTTAAAAGAAATTGATTTCTTTTCCAAATCTTGAATAAGTCAAAAATTAAAGCTCAAAACAAAACAAAAATAACAAGTAGGAAAAAAACACAAACCTTAAATTAATCTGTAAAGCTTTTAAATATCATGAGTGTGTGTTGTGTTAACCGTATTTGTTGATCTTCCTTATGTTGCAACAACTTATTGAAAAAGGTACACTTTTCTAATCACTCTTTTTTAATGACGTTTTACACTATTACATCAAATTAATTATTAGTTTTAGATATGAACATACTTATTATAAATTTAAACTAATATTTTATATGCTTAAACGTTGGAACGTTTCACATTTAATCAAAAATTTAGGTTAACGTTTGTACTTGAATACGTCACGCACACATTGTGTTACGTCCTAGAGATTTATTACTTTTAATTTATTGTTAGATACAAAAATAAAAAATGTTACTTTATATCAACACATTGATAAATTGCGTTCTATTATAATCGCGATCAGATTGCGTACTAATTTAGAAGTTGGGATGAAAATTAAATATTAAAAAAAATATACTATAGATGGGCTTTTCCGTTTTAACACATTTCTCAAATAATATCATGTTTTCCCTTGGATCACAGAAAAATTACGGACGCATTTAATCGGCTCGATAAAATTCACCTTCCCAATTTATTTTATTTCAATACAACCGTAAGAACGCTGGCAAGGAACTTTAACAGCAGAAAAAATGAATATAAAATGAACGTTTTTGTATTTTCAATTATTAATAACTAATTAAATAATTAATTAATAAAGTGTGCAATTATAGATTTTAAATGTGCAATTAATGTGCAGTTAAGAATACTTATTCATTTTTTTCTGCTGTTGAGGTTCTATATCAACTTTTTTGTGCTGTAAAAATCCAGTTATTCGGATCCCGGTCGGTAAAGTAGTAAGGATAAAAGTTACTGTTCTTTTATAACAAGAAATTAAATTGCTTTTTTGTTTTATATATTTACATTTGCGATATTTATATATTTAAATATTAGATTTTCTTTTTTCGTATTATCTAGTTGATTAAAATTAAAAAAAAAATGCATGACACATATTACACCCAGCGTATTATTTTCTAACATTGTTGACTTATTCAAAATTACAAAAGGATATTGTGAGAAAAATGCTTATCGTAAAATGACAATGTACACATGTATACATAAAAATACAAAATACAATATTACAGACAAATTACAGAGAAATGTGCACTTTATATTGAATCTTATAATTTGAATATTATTTGTGTATTTTACTAATAAATACTATTTTTCATCAATTTATCTCTTCAGGAATCCACTACTGCGATAGATTTAAGACTATATTTACATTAAGCGATTGTGGAGTATTTTGAGATATGTAACAGCATTACTTAACAATACAGCTCTCTGAAGGGCATACTATTTAAGTATAATAATAAAAAGTAAAATAATGGATACCTAAAAAACTATAAATATTTTGTCTTTGTATCTATCAAGTATAAAAAAACCAAATATATGTATGTGCTATATATATATATGTGTAATTTTGCTACAGCAATAAAAATAAGCTAAGCAATTAAGAAACGTAACAGATATCTCTACAACAAGAGAATATCAAAAATTCTTTTTACTTTGTAACTATGGCGGTGCAGAATGTGGAGGTTGGTGTCAGTAATTAGATGATCCGCTTCGTTTCTCATTGGCAAAATATGATACAAAAACTACATCCCCACCAACATTTATCAAACACTGACCCTAAAAATATATATAGTATATAAACTTTTAATCATTATGATTAATGATTATTATATTCATATTAATAATTTTTTATAGAAATTTATAGAGAAAAAGAATCATTTTATATATATCAATAAAATATATACCTGATTTTTATGAACATTATGGAGAAGAACGCACTGTGTCATAAAAAAAGCAACCATCGCATTTCCTCCTAATGCTGTTATATGTGCACGTACAATAGCTAATATTTCCATTACAAAGCTATGCGTAAATCCACTTAATCCACCATTCTGTAAAAAACAATATATATTTATACAATTTCTTTTTAATTTGTAATCTTTACATAATTGTTTGTTTATTATTTTCTTTATTTTTTTTTATAATATACCTCTCTTACAGATGTGCTTTCTCTGATAAAGAAAAAGTTTAGATTTCCTAAATATCTTTCAATTCTTCCACCTGGTAAATACGATAATGGTGTTATATCTACACCATATCTTTCCTTCAAAGGCACCTAAAACAAAATTATTGGAGACAAAAGATATGTAAAATATAGTTTACAAAATTAAATATCTTCAATATCAATAACAACTTAACAGTAATTTTTATTCGTTAAATATCAGTAAAAGCTCACATGTTTATGTCTATGCGTAGTATGTATCTTTGACCGTAATGGTGAACGTGGTCTTGACTTTCGCCCAGAAAAAACTGTTAATGTAGATGGATTTGTAGGTCGAATATTCGGCATATTGTCAGATACAGCAGTTGTTTCTATGTGATCTTCCTCGAGATTAAATATCATTTCGTGTTCGTCTATAAATTGAAGTTCTTCAATTGTATGTACAAACGATATGAAAATGAAAACTTTACCTGATTTTTTCACTTCATCTTTACTATGTTGATGAACGACCATTTTTCGTTTATATTTATTTGATTTTACAGGTTCACCTAATCCAAGTGCCATACCAACAACAGAAAGTTGTATTTCATCTTGTTCAGGAAGTGCAACTTTAAATTGCATATCACATAGCGCACAAGGAACCATTCTCCTTAATTTGAAGAAAATTGTCTATAATATATTATACACATTAATTACAAATAAAAAGAAGAAATGTATACTTTTAAATGCTATTTCAAAATAATCATTTAATATACCTGCAATAATCTAGCGAAATATTTTGGAGGCATTGATGTTGATAGACCTGCTGGAATTTTAGCTCTGGATACTTGTGTAAACATTTGTAAATTTCTAACTATTTCTAGATCTTCTAATCCAGGTATAGTTTGTGTATTTACAACATGAAAATCATCGGGTGGTTTGTCATCTATTAATAATGATATTCTATCAATATCCTCGAGATCATCTACTTCTAATATGCAAGCATCTCGAGAACCTAATGCAACATCAAGTTCAGGTAAATCTTCATCCGAGTCGTCTGTATCGGATGTAGTTACAGCACGCCCTGTTTCATTGTCCTATTCCAAAATTATATTTAATTAATATACAAATTTTATAAAATTAAATGAAAAAAAAGGATTCATTTGAACATACCCCTATTGGCTTTAATTGATAAAATTCGATATTCTTTTTAACGGTGTTTGAAAGAATTTGTTGAATTTCAACCAACTGCTCTTCGTTGTGCCAAGAATTATGAGCAGCAATTTGTGGAATAGAAGGATTAGGTAATGCTGTAAGAAAAACAGCGGTTCCAACTGCCATTCCAATAATGAATCTCTCTCCGATGGAAACTTGTAATTTTAAACCAAAGATAGCATTCATTCCTTTCATTTTTAACTTATTCAATAACAAACAATACAATTCATATTCCAAAAAAGGTAAGCAATCGGAAATTTCTTTGGCATTTAATTCGCCTCTTAAATCTTTCTTATTTTTACATACTGTTGCTTGAATGAAGCATCCTCTACCAGTCATAGGTATATTTTCAAGAAGTTCTATAGTAGTAAACATTACATCTGGAACTTTAGCTCTTTTACATATGGCACATTTAGACATATTTACTTTAAATTGTATATTACTTCCACTATATGGCAAATGACAAAGACTGCACCCGTGAGATTGGGCATATGATTCGTGATCATTACTTTCAGATGCACATTTATTTCTTCCACTGGGATTAGTCGTATGATTAGGTGGATCAATGTCACTTCTTTCTGTTTTATTGACAGATGATTTTTGGCTGGGCTTATCGCGTTCTGATTCTATAGATGCTGCTATTAATCCTTGTTGCAATCGAGTTACAAAAACATTATCCTGATCCGAATTTGAATTATGAAGATTTATAACAGCAGCTGTACCACTTGCATTTAAAACACAAACGTCATCGCTAAAAATATATTAATTTATGTTAATCATCTTGTCTATTATTTGTTTTTATTTAAAAATATATATTTATTTAAAAAATTTACCATATACTAGTTTCTTCTTTGTATCCTATGACGACGTTACAAGCTAATGCTCTTGCATGCGATCTAACTTCCATTCTAATTTCTGTCCACCATGCATCACGACTTTCCGGTTCTTCTAAATTACTTATTCTTTCCAATAATTTAACCGATCTTGAGCTTACCAGACCACCTACCTCAATATGATGTATATAATGTATAATTTAACATATTAATGATATTACACAAATATACTTTTTGTTTAACTTACATAAAAATGATGGACAAAGCTTACCTATATGTACAACAAAACCAGGAGGATATTGTTGCATTGTAATAAATGGATATTCCAACATTTCTAATGCATCTTGATTCATAGTTCTTACTACAGCTGCCGATTGTTTCATGAAGCCACCCATTGATCTATCGCTTCCAGCCAAAGAATTACCTGAAATATATGATTAAAATGATTTTTAAAAATACTTTAGTACTTCATATATTTTGTTCTATTATATATTACCTTTTGGTGTAATACTTAAATCGGAATCGCTGGATCTTCTATGCAAAGGAATGATATTATGTGTTTTTGTTGCAGGTGAATGTAAAGTTTTTGCAGTCGTTGATGAAGGAATAGAAGGAAGTGGATAACTTGGACTAAATGATGCTTCCTCTTGATGTCTAAAAATACGAATATTACAAATTTATATTTTTCGAAATCATTTATATTTATCATAACTTAAATCGACAAATAAAAATATGTATACTCTTCAAGTGGTGCATTATCCGAAGGCGAGTTAAAAACATCGTGTACTTTTACAAGAGTTACCGCAGTTCCTATACCTCGTGCAACAATGCCCGACTCTCCTTCTAGGTCAAAATTCTGCAAATATCTAATTATAAATGAGAAGCAATTAAGAATTAAAATAGTTTTTCATTATTTGTTCTTTACGATTTGCAGACAATTTGTATATTATGTGCATATTTACCCAATAACTGCATTTCCACCCAAATCTAATGCTTTTAGACCTATCTTTCTTTGTACTTCTCCACTTAATTTAAAAAACAATGTTTGACGTGCTTCATTTGATGCTCTAGGTGTTCTTATTTTATCGATCCATTTGTATTCTGGATCATCGCTCACTATTAATTCTTCAACAAAACCATGTATCACTTGGGCATGATATCCATATGGTATATTTGGTGCTAAAAATATTTCAGGATTATTTTACTATTTGCAAGATATTTAATAATTATAGTTCATATAATATATCTAAATTATTATATATAATTTTTAATAATAAATTTAAAAAAACAATACTATATATATAATTATTGCTCCTATGATTTGCTTAAATAAACAACAAGAAATATTTACTTAATATTATCAAAAAGATATTTTCTAATCGATAGTATTATTCTAATTAACAAAATAAAATAAAATTCACACACTGTTCTAGGATATATCTCCTGTAATATATTAATTGATTGATAACAACACTTATCATCAACTATATTTGTTTTTTCTTGGAGATTTAAGACAATTTATATATAACAATATTGTTTCTTTGCTAAAATGGTTGCCAACACTGATGTTCTATCATAATGGATATCATTTGTTGATCCAATTAAGAGAATTGTTGAGAATATTCCCCCTACAAAACAAAAATTTATTTGTAAAAAATATATAAATATAAAAGAAACAAAAGAAGGTAAATGTACACGCATAGAAAAATTATTTTTAGGAGGTGTACAACATACTTCAAAAGATATTTTTTTATTAAATCATTCTCTTAATGTTTAATGGAAAGGATTGATTTTTATCTAAAAGAAAGCAAATCATAGTGCAACATAGTAATGTACAAATGAAAATCATTATTAAGAATAACCTAAACCTCCTTTACTGTCAGTTAATGTAACTTGAATAATTGAAATGCTTACAATAGAAAAATTGTACACCGCACGATGACTGCCTAAACTTATTAAAATCTAAGAATAATTCCACTTTAACAATAATGTTTACTTCACCACGAATACCATGCATTGTATCATAAACTGGTAACCATCCTGTCATAACAGAGCCTATAATAATGTAGAATGTAAATACAAATAATTAAATTCAAAGCAAATATATTCTTATATTTCAATTTTTTTATTCATTTTTTGTCGATTACTACCTTGAGAACCAGCACTGCAGCTCAAAGATGCTTCCAAAGTCCAAACATTTTTAATTAAAGGTGTTATACCCGGCAATAATAATGGATTTAAATTAATATAAACTTTGCCAATTGCATCATTAGCAGAGTAAGTATCATGATCCATTAATCTAATTTGTAAAGGTTCATCTTGTAATTCAGCATCGTCCACTTCAAATTTATACCATTCGGAATTCCATTGAGGGTTTAAAGATTTTCTACATACATCTGTCTTATATGTTACATTTCCAAATTTTAGTTCAACATATGCATCCGTTGTATCACCTGAACGATCCATTACAGGTAAGTTACGACCCGCCAATACCTTGACTTTAATCTTTCCAGGCATGGTGTAGGTTAATAAGTGCAACGATTATAAAACATTATTGTATCGTTTGAATAAATTAAATATCCATCTATTTATGACTAAGTATTTACATTTTGCAGTTTCATGGCAAGTTCGTTGTTTGGGTCGTGGATTAACTTGTACTTTCGTTACTGATATTTATAGTTAAAAGAACTTATCACTACTTATTTATTATCGTAATCAGAATCTTCTTGATCTACCCATTTAGTTAATCAATTAATTATTTAATAATATTACTCACTATTTAATACACATTTTTAATAAAACCATTAATTAACCTCAAAATCTTCAATGGTACATGTTTCATGCTTATCTAATAAGGATTATTATTATTATTAATGGATTTTCCATTGATGATCTATACATTGATTATGCAAGCATAATTTTGTACTTGTGAATCTTCATTATTGATTCACAATCATGTGATATTAGCGCGATAAAGATAAGTAAATATCTATAATAAAGACCACCCAAATACTGCTCAGTACCAGAATCTGTAAGAACAAAAGTAGTAAGTGAATACTGTTGCAAGAAAAATCAAATCGATTTTAATCTTGCGATATATTATATTTTCTCAGGTTGGTACTGACTACATAACTAGTGTGAGAACGAAACTCTATACAAGGAGGACGATCGAGATACGTGTTTTCGTCGAATTTGTGTTGTTGAAAATAAGTAAATACCGAGTACGATAATTCTCCACGAGGGCGGCGGTAGTGTTCAGGAGTTCAGATTTAAGTACGTGTGATTTTATAAATAAACAAGTGAAACAAATAGTTCTCTTTGATGTTTTTTATTTTTTTATCTGATTCGTCGAATCGGCGCGCTCTCTAGTGGCAATAGAAATCATCGTCTCATAGTGTGTATACGTAGACACATTTATAACACTGCGATTGTCCTCCTTGTATATAGGTTTCGTGAGTGCGAGAATCAGATAGAAAAAGTTTTTTCTTATTGTTAGCAGTGTCTTCTTGTGTATACTTGTTAAGTCAATTCAATTTATAATTCTTTGAAATTGTTGATCAATTAAACGAATAAATCGAATTTTGTGATAGTCATAGAAGAAAATATAAGTAATGATTTAAATATTTCATTAAGAAAGAGAACACTTTAGTTTGTATCAGTTTTTTTCGAAACATGTTAACATTTTTGAGTCAAGTAGTGCAGTCACTATAAAGTAACTATTTTCGTTCTAGTGATATTTCATTAGAATATATACAGATTGGTATACATGTGTAGTGCTATTCTCCATCTTTAATCCCGACAGTACGTTTATAATTGTTTACGAAGCGTGGGTTGCAGTGATAACAAATTTACTGCGTGTTTATACGCATTTTATTTGTAAATATATATTAATAATTTTTGTTAAAATAGTCATTTAAAAATGCAATCTTAATTCAAGGCAATGCCTTGGTAATAATAGGTAAGCAATTTTTCTTACAGTCTTACAATCATAAAATATTATTCATATTTCATTGTAAACGTATTTAAAGTATTATAAAGTTATTTTATTGTTTACAAATCAATATTTAATTTGTTTTGTTAGTTACTGCTGACAAATATAGGACATATATACATTATACGCGATATACACGTAATATACGTTACACATGTTATACAATTGTATACGTACATACATAGGCGTTTCTGATGCCATTAGAGTGTTTATTGTGCAATCTTGCTCAATATTATTTTCCTTCCAACATAAACAAAAATATGAAAATATTGATTTAAAATACTTCTTTTTCTTATAGGTTCTCTAAAAAGGCAAATATTAATATAACTTTGTTAGAGTTTGTGAAGCTAATTACATTGAATAAAAATGTTTGGACAATCTGGAAATACATCTTTCTGTATGTTAATTTTATTCATTGAATTATAATAAATATTGTTTTTATTTTTTTTCATTTCATAGCATATTCCATTGATATTATTTAATAATTTTAGCTGGTTTTAATACTGCTACTCAAAGTAGTCCTTTTGGTCAATCCGCATTCAGTAAACCAATTACAACGACTAGTTTTGGAATCGGTACAACTCCAGTCTTTGGCAGCAGTAATACTTCACTCTTCAGTTCAAAACCCGCTGGTTCTTCGACTAGTGGATTATTTGGCAATACCACTACACCACCAGCATTTCGACAACAGACCACTACTCAGCCTTCTTTTGGAGGTATGTCTATTTTATTTATTTATTAAAAAATATAAAAATATTTTCTTGAAAATTAGCAAGTATAAATTAAAATATATGAACATGAAATATTGACTTATTTTTGTTTGCAGCTTTTGGTACTACCAGTACTAATACTAATCTATTTGGTACGCAACAAAATGCAACGCCAAACCTTTTTGGGACAAGTACAGCAACGTCTGCATTTGGTCAAGGAAATAAAACTGGTGGATTCAGTTTTGGCAGCCCAGCTTCCAACAATTTATTTGGACAACCACAACCAACAACTCAACAAGTTACACCTTTTGGTCAAACTAATACAACTGGAACAACAAATCTATTTGGTACAACTACTGGTAAGTCATATATAAAATAATATTGTTATTAATTACTAATCAGAATTTTTATCTATTAATATATGTATGTATATGTGTATATATATATATATGTATATATATATATATATATATCTCTGTACAAAATATATATATATATATGTATATATATATATATATATATCTCTGTACAAAATATATATATATATNATATATATATATATATATATCTCTGTACAAAATATATATATATATATATATGTATATCTTAAGGTTTTAGTAGTACACCTGCTAATACAGCTATGACAGGGACAGTGGTTAAATTTACGCCACTTATAACAACAGATTCTATGACAAAAAATGGTACAGCTCATAGCATATCTGGACGGCATTGTTGCATTGTATCAATGAAGGAATATGAGAACAAATCGTATGAGGAATTACGTTTCGAAGATTATTCGGTTGGTCGAAAAGGTCCCCAAGGTCCACAAGGTATATAAGGACAATAATATATTATTTAAAATATTTAATTATTGATTTATATACAACATACGTGGATATGTCGGATGAGTCACTTAAAGACCGGCCATCCGATTAACTCCTACAATTTTAATGATAGGAACAATTCGTTAAAAGTTTTTCTCTTATCATGGGAAAACATCATGTTACAGGGAATATTTTTCCCTGGTAGAGGCGTGTAGGAGATTTGAAATAGAACCATGCATTTTTGAACACCTACAATTGTAGCCCTTTCCAAGACAATTTTAACGGTCATCGGGTATTCAAGCTCATAGATATAAAAGTTGTAAAATTTAAATTTATCATTAATGTCTCCCAAATAAAATACTCGTTCTATTAAATATATCAAACGGAAATATTATTATTGATATATTAATTATCTAATCGTGATCTGGGTTACATGATACAGATGTTCAAAATGCTGACCACCTACAATTAAACACTGTTTAAAACTCTATACATTTAAATGTGTTCTCGTCGATTACAATGCAAGCTTGTTGCATTCTTTTTCTCATATTTCCTTAAGTAGTCGACGCATCACAATACACATCTTTAAATTTATCTTTTAAAAAGAAATTTAACGGTATCAAATCTGGTGATTTTTGTATCCATTGAAGATTTTACATTCGTCCAATTCAACGATTTTCAAATTTTCTATTAAAAATGGTAATAGACAATCACTTTGTTGTTATCAAAAATCATATTTTACACAATTCAACGTTCTGTTAATGAAAAATAAAAAAGTATTTGTATTTTAACACATTGTTGACCGGTAATTTTACTTAAAAGCTATTTCATGTCATTGGCTATTATTTCTTAATGTAATATGAAAGTGCAAGAATCTAAAGACACTTCGATATACTTTATTTATACGTAATGAATTAAAATTGAACTTTGTAAATATGTTCTATATAACTTTTAATAATTTTCTTCTCTTTTTCAAAATCACTTTTACTATCAGATTCTATTAAATTTTTTTTTTGCTATTTCATTAATCTAATGTCAGATTCATAATTGTCTTCCAATATTAATTTTAAAATCACAATCATATAAAGCATCTGCTAACACGAGTTAACTTGTAATTGGTAAACAATGTGTTAAAAATGAGACATATTAAAAGTATTTGAATAAGATAAGAGCTAAGAGGACAAAAATAAAAATAAAAAGTCAAACATATTCTATTTGGGAAATATTAACATTAAATAAAAATTTTTCATATCCATGAAAGCTTGAATACTCGATGACCATTATAATTGTCTTGGAAAGGGCTACAATTGTAGGTGTTCAAAAATGGATGGTTCCATTTCAAATATCCTATGTGCCTTTACTTGAGAAAAAATGCTCCCCGTAGCATGATGTCCCTCTCAATAACAAACAATTTTTACTTGAAAAATGTTTTCCTATCAGTAAAATTGTAAGAGTTATTATATATCGGGTGGCCGGTCTTAAGTGACTATCCCGATATATAGACTACATTATCGTAATCATTTTGAATTGAGTACTAATAAATTGGCATCGAATTTGATTTACATATGTAACAGGACCAAATACTGGGCTTTTTGGGTCAGCTGCGCAGCCTTCTCCTTTTGGAAATACAGCAGCTGGCACTAGTACTGCTGCAACAGGTATATATTATAAATAATTTTTATGAAATTGTATTAATTATCCTATTGTGTATACGCGTGTATGTGTATATGTACATGCGTGCATAGAATTGAACTGTTACTTTATGTTTTATTTATTTATATTATAATAGGTTTTAGTGGAATGAGTGGAGGTTTTGGGACTACTAGTCAGTCTGGATCCAATAATCTTTTTGGTAAGCCAATGACAAATTTTGGAGGACAACCAGCAACAACAGCAAATACTTTTGGATTCAATTCTACTACTAACACAAATCTTTTTGGCAATAATACACAAGCTAAACCTTTTGGTAGTAAGTAAAGAACATTTTTTCAAAATACTTTTTAACATTCCCAGGCGATTATATTATATGTAATAATATTAGATTTAAATAAATTAATTAATTATTATTAGCATAAAAATAAATAACTTCACGTGCATTTACAGCCGCAGCACCGACGTCACTTTTTCCAACGAATAATACTAACCAAACTGCTGGCACAGGTTTTGGCAATATTAATACTACCCCTAATACAGGATTTGCATCTACATTTGGTACTCAACCTAATCAGGTAAATATAATATTAATACTGTATTTTATTTATTAATTTTCTATACATTATTTATAATTAATATTTGCTTTCATATGTTTAGACAATCGGATTATTTGGTCAAAATAAATCGGCATTTAATATACCAGCGACATCAACTGGAACTGGTTTTACAAATTTTGGACAAACATCCGTAAGCAATAGCGGGACATCTTTGTTTAATACAAAACCTGCTATGACCGGATTTGGAGTTTCAACATTTGGCTCAACACCAGCACCTTTGAGCTTTGGGACTAATACAGGTTTTAATACAGGCCAAAATACTGGGAATTCACTATTTAATTCATCATTTAAACCAGCAGGACAATCTCCTGGTTTTTCTTTTGGTTCAACTGGTACACCTTCTACGGGTCTTGGTAATGATTAAATTCAATTATACGTGACATCTGTTTTAAAAATTTTTATCATATTACAATACATAATCCTATATAATTTGATATTAAATAATATAGCAATTTATACGGTAACTGATCCAATCTTTTACTTCTTCATTTAGGCACCAATACAGGTTTAAATTTAGGTGGTGGTTCAACGCTATTTGGTCAGCAAAAACCATCTGGAGTTTTCGGAAATACAGGAAATACTACATTTAATAATCCTGGTTCATTTGGAGGAACATCTTTTGCTTTTGGGACAAATAATACAATGCCTGGACAAGGAACTGGTTTACTTAGTGGGTAAGTTTAATTATTATTTCATAATTGTATAATATTGTTTACGAACATCGTTGAGATCAGGCGTATTTTGATTTATTTTTTTTCTGATTTCTTCCTTCTCTTTAAAAGAGAAAAAAATCATTAATATCTTATGTGTTACAGATTAGCACCAAATCAAGTAAAACCTTCTGGTAACGTTCCTGTACATGAACAAATTTTAGCATTAGTATCATCACCTTTTGGTGATTCACCTTTATTGAAAAACTTATTACCAGTAAGTATCAAATAGTAGTTTAAAAATCTATTGTTATCACACAGTACATCATTGTTTTATAATTTAGGCATCTGGGAAAACTGAAGAGCTTTTAAAACCCACAAATGCAGCATCTAGGATGTTAAACAGCCCACAATATAAGGTGGCAACTAGCAATAAATCACCAAAACTTAAAACAAGAATGGTTAGCAATACTCAGCTATCCAAGGTATATTAACTATTACTCGATAATTTTGTTTTAAATTGATTTTTATAATATCTTTTTTTATTTATTTTAATTTTTATAGAAATCATTATTTGAGGGTCTTGAAGAAGAAGATCCAGTATTATCAGAAGCATTTCAACCACGACCAAATGCAAAACGATTGGTATTACGACCTAAACCAATTACAAATTCTACTACAGAGTCATCAAATGAAAATTCTGAATCTCATGCAAAGAATGATAGCAGGGAAGAGAGATTAGATAATTCCAGTTTACACAATAGCAGTATTGAAGCTGTTGATAAAGAAAATAAAAATGTAGAAACAAATAAACAATTTTCATCTGATCGAAAATCATCTACATCATGGTAAGACTAAAAAAATTAATTAAATATTTTTCTCATTTTATATCATATTCTTTTATTTTTTATTTCATTAATAGGTTGAGATCAACTTTTCCACGAAAAGGAAAATCACTATGCGATGATGAATTATTCGAGGGACAACGATCCCCATTTTCTGAATCTAATAATTCACAAGAAATAATAAACAATACAATATCTGAGTTAAATGCTCACAATAATTTAAACAATCAATCTGATGCAGATATAGCTAATTTCCCAGACTCAGTTTTGAGTGGATCGTTAGTTGATAGAAGTTCAATTGATTTAACTTCACAAATTACAGGTATTTATCATCAGGAAGATATAATATTACTATATTTACAATGAAATATAAATGATGTTAAAAAAAATAATATATATAAAGTTGAAGACATTTTAAAAACATTATTTATTGTTATTTAAGATACAAGCCAAGAATTAGATGCGAATTTATTGTCCTCGTCGCAAAATAATTGGTCCAATAATTTAGCTCAAGTAACACTCCAACGAGTGGGATATTATACAATTCCTTCGCTGGATAAATTAGATGATTATGTTGATGTTTGTGCTAAAACTTGTATAGTACCAAACTTTACTGTAGTACGTGATGGATATGGCAATGTCTATTTTCCAGATTCATTTGATATATATGGTTTAAATTTAGATGAAATAGGTAAAGTTATAAACATTTTCAATTCACAAGACTCTTTATCTACTCTTTACACACTTCTTATCACATATTTTATTTTGTAGTACACTTTCGACACAAAGAAGTTATAATTTATCCGGATGATGAAAAAAAACCACCAATTGGTCAAGGTTTAAATCGAAAAGCTCAAGTTACATTGGAGAAAGTATGGCCGCACGATAAAACTCGACATGAACCAATTACGGACCCACATAGAATAGCTGCTATGAATTATGAAGAAAAATTACGTAAAGTATCAGCCAAACACGATACTAAATTTCTTGAATATCGCCCAGAAACTGGATCATGGGTATTTAAGGTAAGTAAATTAAATATTTGTGATACAAATATTTATATATACAAATGTAATTGTTTTCTTTTTTTTTTATTCATTAAATTCGTTTTTTTAGGTCGATCATTTCTCAAAATATGGCTTAAGCGATTCAGATGAGGAAGATAATAACGTGCCACCTAAAACAGATGTGAAAAAATTAAAAATAGCTAATTTGCAACAACAATTACCCGACAAAGTGGAGCAACAAAAATCTTTGGTGAGAATTAAATAATTATTTTTGTAATTATTCATATACAATGTAATATGAACTGAAATTAATCTAATTTTTGTTTTTTTTTTTCATAGAGTAAAAATGGTGCTATCGCGTTAGATAGTAACTTAAAAGCAGGAGAGACACGACTTTCAGAAATGGAGTGTGATTTTTTAGGAACGGATCATGATTTGTCTAATTCCAGTGAGTATTATTCATATCTTTTGATAGAAGATTATTATATAATATTTATAGTTCTAATATTTGCATTAGAATTTCGTACATTATATTATTATAATAAATAATTTTAAAAATATGAAATTTTACAGGAAATTATAGTGGCAAGAAAAAATCTGTAATCAGTCCTACGACAGCTTATGCACGAATTACTGGTACGGATTCCCACAAATTGCAATTAATGAAAGCAAGTTTTTTTGATACAGGCGATGAAGAAATGGATCAAGGTAATATTCTATAATCATAATAATAAGTAAAGGATAAAACTATACAATAGTATAGTGTAATTTTATAATACTCAAAAAAATAAATTCTTTTTATAGAATCAGTTCATGAAACATTGCCAGTTTTAACAGGGAAAGATTTATCAAACAAATTTTTTAATATGGATTCCAAAATCGATCGACAAAGTATTTCGACTATTTATACCCCAATATTACGATCTAATTTTATATCTTCCCAAACATCATTATCAACTAATGAAGAACAAATGCTCAATGAAACAACTATTCGTAAGATCTTTCCGTTTACCTTAACTTCAATTTTAATGTAATGATGTAACTACATTTTTTAAAATTATTATTATAGATTCAAAATCTAAATTAACAAGTGGCATTACTAGTATTCAGACATTTATTTTTAATAAACCTTTCCCTGACCCTTCAATAAAACCAATCACCAAAATTATAAGATGCCAATCAGAAGTAATTCCACTATCAGAATCTATTTTGAAAAAATTACAGTTTCGTTGTGCAGCAGATTTTGGTAATGTATTATTAAATATTTTACTTTTTTACAAAACAATCTATTTTTATTTTTATTACTATAAAATATTATAGATCCCTATTTTTAATTAATTTCGTAATTATCATATAATTATTTATACAGGTATACAAATGGGAAGAATATTCAGATCAAGGTGGGGTATGGGCTTGACATTGCTTTCTTTAAGTACACAAGAACAAGCAGCTAAAATACCACTGCAGGGTACATTTGATCAGTTGGGATCTTACATATGTGGTCGTATACCAGGTGATACAACTTCAATGAATGTCGTGCAACGTTTACAAATTTTGGGAGGTAATGGAGTAGAACCGGAATATATTCAGATGTTTAAGGTAACTTTTAAAATGTGTTAAATATTCTAATACGAATAAAATGTTTTTTAATATACAAATTGTGATCTTATTTATTATTTCTTATTATAAAATGTTCATAGGAAAGTGTAGAAAGACACTTAAAAATTCAGCTTGCTAATTGCATTATGGGACACGAAGGAGATTGTCCAACTTTTAACGTAGCGACAGAAACAGCTAGTACTACTTTGAGTTATCATAGCAAATTAGCTCAAGAATTAGCTGAACAGTTTTCTTCAGACCCTATGATGGTATATACTAAAACAGTATTTAAATTATGTATGGCACTTTGGGGAGATCTCCCTGACATAAACATATCCACCGGTATTTTATATTTTTCATTATAAATATATATTATATTTTTTTAAATATAATTAGATATGTAAAGTATCAAATATATATAATTTGTTTATTGTAGGAAATGCTAAGCATCATAATGTAATGGTAAGAAGGGAAGCTGTAGGTGAATGGCTCCAAAGTGTTGTTAAAGAAACTCTAGAACAAGAAATTGTTGATCTTGAAACGAATGATAAAATAATACTTTCACTGCTTACTGGTATGTATATTTATGCATATACATAATGAACAAATATCCTTTGGACATGAATTAACTAATTATAATATTCTTAATATTTAAAAGCACTAAGATTGGAAGAAGCATGTCAAATAGCTAGAAAAGTTGGAGACCACTGCTTAGCACTGTTAATGGCACAATTGCGAAGTGGATTACCTGTAAAAGAAATGGTGAAACAGCAACTTGCAGTATGGCAAGATTTGGATGTTGATGAAAATCTTTCTATGGATCGGTTAAAGTTATTCACTCTAATAGCTGGCGAGCCTCTTATTTCTAGCAAACATGGTACCATCAATATTTGCGAAGGACTTGAATGGAAGAGAGCTTTAGCTGTTCATTTATGGTAAGACGATACTTTATTAAAAAATCATTTTATATGTATAGTTACTTAATAATTGAATAAATTTATCCACAGGTATTTGTCTTCTCCAACTGCTTCAATAACAGATGTTTTGGAATTGTATGAAGGATCATTTAATGTTGATCCCACTGAAGCATATTCGGTAATACCACAACCTGAATACAAAAATAATGAATATGATCCAGAAATAAATAATAAAAAATCAGTATACGATTTATGCTTTCATATATTAAAATTATATTGTACTGGAAACCATTCCATGGAAAACCTTTTGAACCCATTAACATATACCCTAGATCCATTTGATTACAGACTCAGGTATTTTGCACAGGAATATATATATATATATATATATATTTTTCTTTTTTTAGATTTATATTTAAAATAAATTATTGGTTGGTTTTTTCTTTTACAGTTGGTTGATGCAACAAACACTACTCAGTTTGGGTTATTCGCATCTTTCCGAATACGTAACAGCATTGACGCATATTAATTTTGCAACTCAATTAGAGGGATATGGCTTATGGCATTGGGCTATTTTTGTAATATTACATTTAAAAGATGCTGGGCGTAGACGTACTGCGGTATTAGATTTATTAGCGAGACATGTAGAGATAGATGACATTCCTGAATATATTAAACAAGAAGAATTTTTAAAAGAAGAGTTAGGCATACCATCGGCATGGATTCATCAAGCCAAAGCCATGAAAAGTCGTGTTAGTAAAAGGTACTTATTACAAATTTATTTTAATCATATTAAATTTATATTGAATATATTTATATTTTTATACTTATATTAAATAACGTTTAAATACTTCAGGTATGGAGAAGCAGCATGGTATTTTATACAAGCGGAGCAGTGGAATATGGCTCATGAAATTATTATTGAACATTTAGCAGCCGATGCTATAATAAATGGTATGAAACTAATTTCTGTTTGATAGTTTAATTATTTATTTTATAACTTGAGAGTAAAATTAAATTTGAATATTAATTTATTTAAACAGAAAATTACGAGTATCTTCAAGCTTTGCTCAATCCAATGGTACCTGAAGAATGTAGCAGTTTAATTAGTAATTGGCCTCATCGAGGACAATTACTTTGGGATTATATAGAAATCACAACGCAAATTCAAAACTTATTAAATTCTTCCGATTCTTGTGCAATAAATTATAAATTGGAATTGTTGAAACCTAGATTGACGTCATTATGTTCAAAAATAGAACAATTTCCTTGTCTTACTGCTAAACACAGGTAAAAAATAATATTGACTTTTTATACATGTGTGTACAATTGATTTATATATAAATATAAATAATCTTAATAATATTTTCAGATTGTGTCAAGCCGAGATAGCAAAGAGAACATTGCACGTAGCTAAAAATTTGCTTATACTGCAGGCAAATGAAAATACACCGATGCTAAAGGTATTAATTTATCTAATCTCGCAATTACCATTACCGGAAGATTATGCCCAACAAGAGTTACGGCCAATTATAAATATGTGTGCAAGTGAGGCGGTTTCGCAGAAAGCATAGTTTATTTTGTTATAAGGTAATTTAATAATGTGCTATATGAACATAAGTTCTTTATATTCCGTTCGAAAATGGTAAAAACTTATAATTTATAAAACAATAAATAATGTAATGTTCGTTTGTTTATAATACTTAAGGATTTTTTTTCTCAAAACAAGAAATAACATAATTAACTAACAACAGTTTTAATAACTAAAACGATATATTCTTCATTAATATTAAGTTTATCAAATATTAAATTGCACATTTATAAATAATTTTCTATATATTCCATGTTTCTTCATATGTTACACGCACATACAAACACAATTACAGTTTCTTTGCAATAGTTCATTAAAAGGTGTTACCGTTTAAACGATGTTAATTTATGAATTGTAATTTTTAATTTATGGTAATCAAATTCTATATATGTTATATATATATATGTTCTTGTTCTTAACTACAAAATTTTTATTTTTGTGGGAAACAAATTTATTTCATTTTTGTAACTAAAGAAATATTGCATGTTTAATTAGTAGTTCAAATATATATATACATATGTGATTTAATTGCAAAGGAAATCATTTTGTAATCTTTTATAAAATTAGTTTAATCCTTAAATAATTTAAACAACAGAACAAATGTTATTATCAATCTTGATCAATTTAATGTGTTTATTACACTTTATAAAAAGTACATATTTATAATAATTTAATAATTAATATGATACAATGATGTAGAGTCTATTACATAATGTTTTTAATACAATTGTATAGCTTCTTAAAACGAAAAATATGACTTATTTATGTAATTGATTTATAAACACAATAGAATAATATTATTAATAATACAGATTATATATTCGTTCCTTCCTTTTGATATAATAAGTTTTATGTTATACAGTTATAAAGACAAAAAAAAATACACTTTAGTAATTACTAATGTAAGTATATTAAGGTTAGTTTCTATATATATATAACTATGTGTACCTTAACCTAACTTTTGGATTACCAAAACAAATATTTCCAAGTTATGTTACTCTATCTTTGTAATTTGTCTAAAATTGTTTTACTAAATAAAGTGTTTTATACAAATTCTACAAAAATACACAATTGTATATAATACTGTTAATTAATCATTAAATATAAATAATTGTTGTATAAAATATAATAATTATATATTTTATGAAAAATTAATGTTTTTTGACATGAGTAATAAAAAGGTGAATAATCTTTAACATATATTTATAACAAATATTTATCAAAAGATTTACAGCATATTAATTACATAAATATTATTTTTTTTAAAAGATAAATAATAGCTGGCTAGTACCATCATTTGATTGTGACACTACAAATAACAAATCTTTGAGGAAAGGGAATTATTCTCAAAGATCTAATGATCATATAGAAATTCTTCATAATATTCCTTCAAAAAGAAAAAATATTTGTAACATATCAACATTATTATCTAATTGCGAACCAAAAACACAAACTGAATTGGTTATTAGCAGACAAAAGAAACAAGAAATTTTAAACTGGTTGGAAAACAAAGCGAATAGAAGAAAACCAACTGTATTAGTTATTTCTGGTCCATCGGGTTGTGGAAAAACCATTTCTATCAAATTATTAGCTAAAGAATATGGTTTTGAAGTTACGGAATGGATTAATTCAATAGATCAGTTAATGGATGAGAACAGTAAGATTTATTTAATAAAATACAAATTGAATTTAATATTATGTGATCCTATAAATATTGATGTGTTAATTAGATAGGATAATGACACAGAGCAATAAATTTGTGGACTTCATGGTGAGAGCTACTCGATATAATTCAGTATTAACCAATTGTTCTAAACGACTTTTATTAGTTAAGGATTTTCCTAACATATACTACGAAAATAAAGAAAGTTTTCATTCGATGTTAGAGTAAGCCTTTACTATCTGTTTTGTATTTATATTAATTACAATTTTTTATATCTTAAATCATCTTATCATCATATAATTTCATTTGATTAGTTTCTAAATATATGAATATAATGATTTCAGAAGATACTTTGAGTTAGGAAGAGATCCTATAGTATTTATCTGCACAGATACAGAAGGAAATTCTAAGTTATTACACACTCTATTCGTGCCGCATATAAGAGAAAAATTTGATATCAATTTCATCAGGTAAACGTCTCTTCAATTTATTTATTTATTAATTAATATTTCAACCCATATTAATTTGTTTATTGTTAAATGCAGTATTAATCCTGTTACACAAGTAGCTATGAAAAATATGTTGAAAAGAGTATCGCCAATATTAAATTCTGAAGCTGCAAGTATGTTACACATAACTCAAGAACATATTGATGAAATTTTATCTAACAGTATTGGTGATGCTCGCAATGCTTTATTGAATATCGTATTTATTTCACTTAAAGGTAAATATAATTTATGTTAAAATATTTAATAATTTCAAAATCATAAATAAATTAATTAAATTCATGTAAGAGAATATATTTTTTATTATAGTATCGAAAGAACTGGTGAAAAATGAATGCACTAATCGTAGTGAGAGTTTAGGATTATTACATGGAATTGGTAGAGTTATTAATCCTAAAAGTAAGGGGAGTAATAATATAAATTAGCAAAAATATTAGAAATATAATAATGCCGTCATAATATTAAACTACCAAATTTTAGGGATACAAGAGGAAAATTCATGGAAATTTGTTCATAATCCTGATGAAATAGCTGAATATTTTCAATCACAAACAACTACATTCCTATATTTTCTTCATGAAAATTATATGAATACTATTGGATTGATTGAGGAATCAGATATAAGTGCTAACGTTTTAAGTTTGGGAGATGTTCTGAATTCAGAATGGCGTGTACGTTTTATTTACTTATGATTATGCTATTATATTAAGAAAATAATATATATAATTATTTAGTATTATTTTTTTAGGATTTAAATTTGAGTAAACTTAGTTTATCTTTTTGCATACGTGGTATAATGGTAGCTAATGAATCACCTGTAAGTGGATGGAACCCAATACGCAAACCACAGTTTGACAAAAATCTTGCGTTAGTATATTATTTACTTTAAATAAATAAATAAATTTATATACATTATATCTTCTTTATATATATATAATTCCGTTGAAAAAAAAAAATCTAAATTGACCTTGAAATCTCGTAAAAAAAAACCAACGTNTATATATATATATATATATATATATACACAATATACTTATATAAATATTTTTCAGAGGAAATTCTTTAAACAATGTAGAAAATGAATGGTACAAGTCACTAATTGATAAAGATAAAAACAAAAATACAACGATTACGTCTGATGTTGAAATGGATGAAATAAGTGATTAAAATATTGTATCAAATACCTGAAATTTGTGTGTGGGAATACGTTTAAATATAATATTTTTTATTTTTGTATTTCTTGTATAATTTAAATCATATGTTAGAATTTGTTTTAATTACATAATAGTTTGTTCCTTTTATATATTCCTTACTATTCATAAAAATTATATTTTATAACTTATATATATTCTAATTAATTTAATATTTATAAATAATACAAGAATAACAAAAATGTTTTCAGTATTTATATATAAATATTTAATTCACTTATGTATTTATATATATATATATCTAGAAATGTGTTAAAAATTTTGTAGTTCAATTTATTTTCATCAAGTGGCAGGTCGATCAAATATATGAAATACATGTCGTGTAACAACCCAAAACAAGTACAGAAATTTAAACTCTCTTTTAAAATAAAATAATTGATTCTTTGTAAATAAGTATAATTATCGAAAGAAAAAATTATACTTTCAATTGTGTATAAAAATTATATATAATTATTCTTTCTAATAAATAATAATTCACAAGTTGTATATAGTACATTAAGATGTGCTAAGTATCTGAGCGTGTCTTTCGCTTATAAAATACAAATTGTGTTATAATATAAATTATCGTAAAAATGTCATTAATATTACGAACTAATTTACGACATAAATGTCAAATTTATCTTCAAGAGACTAAACATTTAGGATGCAGTTATCTTCGTATGAACCACAATAGGAATTTTAAGGTTAGAATGCAAATTAGGAAATGATGTATTTAAATGTTTCAACTTTTTCTCTACAATTTTGTACATAAATAAGTAAAGTAATTTAATATATTTATTTAAATAGCTTTTATCTCTTAACGAATGACTAGTATTTAACTTGTAATATTTTATTTTCGACAAATATATCTATCCATATATATATATATTAATGATTATATATTTTTTATAGAGAGTTATTCATAATGATCAAACAATCTCTGAAGAACAACCTATAGAAATCTATCGAGGAAATCTAAACAATCGAGTACGTAATGTGAAAATATTTTCTTTAGGATCATCAGTGTGTGCACTTGCGATACAACCATATATCATTAATAAGGCTATTATAGTAGACAGTATAGCAGGTATCGCAGGATCTATCTTTTTGGGATTCACTTCAATTTGTACGACATTGCTTTTTCATCTAATAACAAGGAATTATGTAACAGTTATTTATTATGATCCTAAAAGAGACAAATATGTTGCCACAACTTACACCATATTTCTTCGTGAAAATAAAGTATTAAAAATATTTTCTATTATTCTTTATACAATGTATATAAATTTAAAGCAAGATACTTTGTGCGAGCAAGTTATAAATAATATTTACATATATTGCAGATTGAATTTACACCAGATGACGTTGTAGTACCAAACATTACTGGTATATTTACAACGTGCCTTATTAAAGGAAAATCGGTATTATTTAATGATCAATTTTTCAATGATGCCGATCATTATTATAGAATAATGGGATTCGATAAACCGATAGATTATAAGTTAAGTAATACTAATTTAAATAATACAACTATGGAAGAGAATTTATCTGAAAAGACTGATAATAAAAGATAAATGTATATATATGTGTATATATATATATAATTAAATATCTCAAAACATCCGTCTTTATTATACACATTTTTTTCTTTTTTTTTTAAATTCTATACACTATTATTTATTTATGATACATAGCTCAATATTTACAAACCAATACATGTCGAAATTAAATATCATTTTTGCTTTTTGATATGGTAAATGTTGTTTCATTTTTCATTATAGTTTAATATAATGAGAAGATAAAATAAAATAAAAAAAAAAAAAAAAAATAAAAAAAAAAAAAAATAAACGTCGTCACAAATTTTGAATATTTTCCAGGGTTATTTCACATACTTAATTGTAAGAACTTCGAATCTATTTATAATATACTGAACCAATAGTGAATTTAAAAATAAAAATGTGCAGAAGAACAAAATTCTTAAAGTTAATTTAAAAATATAGAATTGAATCATAAAATATAATAATTGTTCAGTCGGTGTATACTAAGCAGGTAATAAATCAAAGTCATCCGAAACATGTACCATTGGTACATGAATATCTTCTATTTGAGGTGTTGCTTTAAACTCGCACAGTCCTACTTCTTTCAATTTCCACTCCCAGTCCATTTTTTGAATGGCATGTAAGGAATCTGCTTCAGTATGATGTCTTAACAACATTACTTCCTACAACAGAAAAGAAATGCGTTCATTCTGGAAAATAGTTAAATTAACATACATGTATTGTGCTCTTAAAAATTGATACGCAAAATTATGACGATCACACATCAGTATTAAGCACAGAAGAATATTTTATTTTAACTTGAATTGTAACAAAATTCATATGTACTTAAATATATCAAAGCAAACAAAGTTCAGGTACCTTTATCTTTTCCCATTTATCATCGACGTCTTGTAGCCAGCTTAAAAATAGTCTCCCGTTGTATCTACTACGTGCATTTCTATCTTTTTCTTCTTGTTCTGGCGTAATAACGTTATAAACTTCTTCGTCTTTAAGAATGGTGCAAACTGAGAATGGAAGTGATTGATTGGCAAGAGCTCTGGCTGCTCTACCATGGACTCGAAGGATTTCTTGTTCAACTGATAACACTAATTTTTCTTTCTCTACGACGTGTTGCATTCTAAGCCGATATCTCTCTTTTTCTTGTTCTATATACAAATCTTTCATAAGACTTTGCAAACTAACTGGTGGATTAACATTTGGTTCATTGTTCACATTTCCAGCTAATACATATGTACAACGATTCATCAAATAATCTTTAAAACCTTGCGGAGGTTTTGGTTGAACTGGAAATAGGCCTTTTCTTCTTCTTTCAATCTGAAAAATACATTGTTTTTGTTGTCAATTCAACAAACAAATAAAACTCATCACAATTTTATATACCAAATTTTTAGCCAAATAAATAATAAAAACAATATACGTAATCATTCTCCAACTCTTACCTGTTTTCTAATATTCAGGTATAATTGGAAACAATTAGTAATAGGTTGATCATGTGGATGTACTTCTGGTCCTGCATTATTAGCTTCTGCTGCTTCATTAGCTGCAGCGACGGCAGCAGCTTGTTGCGCTTCCTTATTAGGTTTCATTTTCCTTTTTCTAGGATGTAATTCGACAGGAGCAGATGAAGCATTGGTATTAGAATTGGTAGATGAAGTTGATGCAGTATTATTTTCAGTACTTTCTGCTCCTGTATCTTTTTGATTTTTTCCTGTGGATTCAGTATTTTTTTCTGCCTTCTCTGTAGCTGTGCTTGTTTTATTTACAGTCCCGCTATTAGATGATTCGGCAGAAGTGGGTTTATTAGACTCAGAATTGGTGTTTTCAGGAGGAGGAGAATGATGCCTTTGTTGCGGTGAAGAATTGTTAGACCGATCGGCTGTAGGTACAGGTAAAGGTGATGAGTTTGAGTAGTTGCCATTACCAGCATTAGATCCTGACACTTCTTTTGATGCCGTAGAACCATTGTTACCATTACCAGTTCTATAAACATAAGATAGTAATCGATAATGATGGCGTCTATAAAATAAAATCTGCAAAATAAATAAAAAATAATTATAAGAAATTAAAAAACAAATTAATAAAGTTTATCTTCTGCAATCAAAAAAATTACAATTAATTCTTATTAATTAGATTACTACTATATAATTTACCTATGCGAACTTCTGAGAACTCTTTGATGATGGGTCGACCTTTCTTCCGAGTGTAGGGTACCTGTAAAGTCTTTTTTATCATCAACCTTGGTTCCACTTCCATTTTCAGTAGGACTAGTTGTACCACTAGCAGATTGATTTTGATCTTTATCCGTAGAGTCATTACTATTAGAACTAGGAACGACATAAGGCAACTGATGACTTCTGTTAGATGTGTTCTTTCCATTTCTATTACCCTGTTCTTGTTCAGACGTAGTACTCTGTGGTATAACTATTTTCAAAGGTGGAACTTTAGGAGCCGAACCAGAATCAGAACTCTTAGAACGATCATCTTCTCCATCGGATTCAGGTAATACAGGTGTTGCTGTTTTCACATTTGTTGTTGAACCAACAGGAGTATTGGAAGGTTTTGGACTGCTCGCCATCGATGCTGTACTTGGACTTTTTCTATCCGCAATATTAGAGACCGTATTTTGATTATTTTTTCCAGATACAGTATTGGAATTTTGCTTTCCAGATTTCGTACACTGTACAAAGCAAATGATAACAATTGCATATCATAAAAGTATTTAATAAATCTTAGGATTTGAATAATACAAGGTGGGCTAAAAGTTTTTAAGCAATGTTCAAAATCAATTATTCTTCCAACATTTTTAAGATCTTATGCATTCTACTTAAAATCACGTCTACCAGCAGCATATGACTTGTAATAATATTTTAGTGAAAAATCTCGTATTTAATTTTCGGTATGATTGGTACAACCTTAGATAGCGATCTTGCGTTAGGATTGAAAGATTATAAATGTTCATAGAAGCGAGATGAGGTAGTCATTCCGAAGATCATCGCCAATCAATCCTATTTAATATATACATGATCTCCCAACACATTGATCTTAACGAATTTAAATCTGTGGTTTCTTGAACCGATGTATCACGACTGGAAAATCAGCTTAGAACGTTTGGTTCATCCTGTATTATCGTGATGATAGAAAACAAAAAAAAGAATTAAGATAATTACCTTATCTCCTGTATTAGTGGCATTTCTACCAGTACTTTGTCTTCCAGTTGGTGTATTTTTAGCACCGTCCTTTACATTTTCCATTTCTTTGCGTTTCTTTTTCTTAATTTCTTCGTCTTGATCTTCGGTATGATCACCGTCATAAGCCCGCTTCGCGCTGGGTGATGTAATCGTCGATGCAGTATCATCAGAGGTCGAGGAAGCAGTATTGGAATCGTTAGTTGTAGTCGTCGAACTACTGTTTGTTGTTGCATTGTTACTATTGTTTTGACCAATCTGGCCTGATAAATTTTTCCCATTTTCTTTATCCTTTTCAGGATTGGGATTTGGCGAAGAACTCGTGCCTCTTACAGGGGTTGGTTCTTTCGAACTTTTAAACTCGTAAACATCGCTGTTGTCCGTGGAAGATGTTGCATTACCGGATCCATTCGATCCAGAAACATTTGTGATAGACGATGAACCACTCAATGGCATCTTCGATGACGATTCCATTTGTCCCTGACTCTGATAATAATATACAATAATTAATATATCTATTTACAATTCTTCAATGTTGATTGCCTATAATTTATTCTATTAAAAAAATAGTAAGAAACAATTTTTTAACAACTAAATTAAACAGATAGACCCTCTTCCTCTATTTTTTACACAATAAATTTTAAATTAAACAGAATTGAAATTTATTTACCTGTGCGTTCATAGCACCCTGGCGGGAGTTTGAAGTACCCCCTTTTTTCTCATCCCTCGCTCCTCGTACCTGGTTGAGCCGGAGCGTCACCCTCGGCGAGCTTCCAGACTGCCCGGTTCCCGATCTATCGACTGTAAATATACATCTTTTATTAGTTTATTCTTAGAGAGAAGAACAACTAGATAACAGAAAACAAATATCCATTAAAACCAATAAAACGTGAAAGTAATTTACAACTGACTATTATCAGTGACATTTTCTTCATCATTTATCTACGAACGTATTTAACAGAAATATATTTCATTACTTTGTTACCTTTTAACCTACATTTCAATATGCAAATTAATCAAAATTTACATCCAATTAAAAGTATTATTTACAACAACGCTCTCAAATAATTAGTATTAGAATCTTTAATTTTAAACAAAAATTAATATCAAAATCAAGTTGTTGGGAAAATTAATTTTTTTAATTGTTATTATTAGAATTATTATTGTTTTCTTTTTAACAATGTATTAACATACGTCATATCTATTTTATCTGATTTTATTTTTTTTTATGATCTCATCGTTCCCTGAACCGAACGAAATCGTGCCAAAAAGTAGATTGATGCTTTTACATATAATGTCCGAAAATACATCGCGCGTCGTTGGTCAATGAATTCTCTCGTTCGTATTTCCCGAAGAGAAATATTTCTAAATCTATAGAGAAATAAATTATATTTTTTACTTGTGATAAAACATATTCGCAAATATTATTGATTCTATTTATTATTATAGGGTTTACCGATCGAGCATTTCCATTATAAACAACAACACGCGTACCCAAAACATCATTATCGTCATCGATCAAAATGATTATCATCATCGAATAATACCCTGTCTTTTTATTTTATTAAAAAAAAAAAAAAAAAAAAAAAAAAAAAAAGAAAACGAACAGAAGTAAAATATTTTGAAAACAAAGATCGGAAAAGAGACAAAGAAACCGACATTGTGCAGTGTAAACGTGAAAACAAATGCACCGAAATAGTAATAATAATAATATATGATAATGACGATGATAATCATCATTATAACTTTAAAAGAATATTATCGCAAGATAGGAAATAGTATCGACTTACTTAAGTTCCTAAACTAGGTAACTCAACAACGTTAGATTGATTTACTCGACGAGTTCACGAACGACACTACAGCGACTAAGAATAAGAAGTAGAAGAAGAATAAGAATAAGAATTTCGCGATGTAGTAGTCGTCGTAGTAGTTGTCGTTGTCTCTCTTGCAAAGAGAAACATATCACGTGGGTGACGCACGATCGACCATCTTCGTGTTCGTGTTCCTTTCTCGGATATCTTCGACACGATATTATAATACGACAGCGATTCATTACAATTCTCGGTTTTGACATGAAATTAGCGGCATAATATAAATAACAGTTTTTTCATCATCAAAATCATCGTCTTCTCCTTACGATCAAGATGGAAATATTGTCAAAATTAATTAAAAAAAAAAAAACAAAGATGTAAATGAAAAATAAACTCGATGCTAAATGATCGATAACTTACACGATTTGATCTGATATAATTTTTCACCCTCACGAAGGTGCGATCACCCTCGTCGCTGAGTGTCGATGAACGCGCAAGTGCACCCAAAGAAGCCTAAGCATGAACGTGAACGAGTCGCACCGTGCCGTTCTGTTCCGAGTCTTGCCGAGCCGCTTAGCACGCACACATACACACGTGCGCGCGTCATCCAAACGGATATATATATATATAATACCTACCTAACCATACATATCTTGCCAGTCACAGCATGCTTCCGACCTTATCCCGTTTATCCCTTCCACTTTACCACCTCGAACGCATTCTCTCACGGTTACCCCCTCCTCCTCAACCCCACTTCTACAACCATTCTCTCTTTTCCATCCTCTTCACAAACCTATTCTCTCTTTCTCTACGCACTCGAGTATCCTCCACTTTACCACCATGCCCCGCTAGCCCGTTTCGATGATGACTAAAGCCAAAACCTTGCTTACTTGCTTGCTCTTGTCAAATAAGACACGACTATGTTGACTTTGCATCGAAACCACGTGCTGCATTCCAACGCAACGTTTATTCGCTAATACTACCATGCTTCCAAACAATTTGCATTTTCGACAACATTGATAAGATGCTACACGTGAACTTTCTAAACTCAATTAGGAGAATGGGTCAAATATTCTGTTATGCATACTAACTAACTTTGTTAGTTAAACTTTCTTATGAATATCGATAGAATTGTTGATGCGAGATAAGAAAAGTTTACTGTGTAGAGTACGTTAGACAAAATCCTGTGGATTTTGGGTTACATTATTTGTTGTATTCTTAACATGAAGACTATTTGAAATCCTCACATTTTTCGATTTTAATTCATTTCAATCGATGATCGTATGTGAAACCTTAGATTGTTCTTGATTGGTTTCTTTTGTATTGTACCCAAGGGACATAAGCTAAACGAAAAATAGAAAACATCAGGTGTTCAATTCTACTATTAACTTTTGTTTACTTTCAAATGCGGCACGTTTCCAAATCAGATGCATCTGTTGCAGATTTTTGGAAGAAATAAAAGCTTGACATATTTATTTGCGGATTTTTGAGATAAACAAACTTGATTTTAATTTTGTCGAGATTACTAGAAATATATTCGTTTTTTAGGGGGTAGAGAAATAAATTGTAAGATTATAAATAAAAGATATTATTTATAACAATAGCAAATGCATAATTTACCTTTATTTTGTGGTGGTGTCCTCCGCATTTCACAGGGGGCTCCACTGTCTTCGGCGACGTGCGGTGCAGCGACTGACGCACTTCCTGTCGTGCGTTGCTGCTGTTGGTGTTGATATTGTGAGTGATGATTGTAATGTTGCTGTTGATAAATCGATGAGGAAGATTGTTGCTCTGTTTTCTGTTCGTTCGATGATGATGATGTTGTTGTTATTGTTGTTGTTGATGATAATGATGTCGTCGTTGTCGTCGTCGCCGCTGTAGTAGTCGAGACGACCGTTGTTATAACCGACGTAGCATCCGAGTTCTCAATTTGAGGAGAACAATTTGGACTATCAGAAGTAGTGGTTGTAGTAGTTGTTGTTGTATTTGTACTTGCACTTGTCGTCGACGTGTCGTTAGGCGAGTTTGCAACTGAAATGTCTGTCAACGCGAAAACAATAATGAAATGTCATATATAAAAATATTAATAAATTTATTTATCAGAAAATTGAATTATTAAGATCTACGTGTACATATACGTATCGTCTAGAATCAAAACAGTAACGATACTTTTATTCTATTGTTTTTTTTTCTATTAAAACGCAACTGGATAAATAAAATGAGACTTTTGACACAGTAGAAAAGAAATGTCAAATCGGGAAAATGCATCGTAATCTTAAAATATTTTATGTCTTCTAGACAGGAACAAAGTATGGTCATGATTTAGTTAAAATGACTTGTGCACTGAGGTTCTCGAAGACGACTAACTTTTTTTCCTCATAAAAATGTTTCCATAAAGGTAACATGATCGAAACGAGTTATGGAAGGAATGCTGGAAGGAAAATATGTAGTACCGTATCGACATATGTATGTTCGTGAGGATATAATAACCTTGAAGAAGGAAATATTTAACTCGTATCTCAACGCAAATTTCCGGCTAGTCGATTATACGCTGCTGTAGTTGTTCGCACTTCGTTTTGGCTAATAATCAATTCTTCTTCCTTGTTCTTCTTTCTCTTTGTTCCGATGTTCCGGAAGCGAGGAGCCACCACACAGCCGGCGAATATCGAATATACGCCAAATCTTAAAGAAATTTCGATTCCTTTCGATTTCATCCAAATGGATGATCATCATCATTCTTCTTGCATGTCTTTGACAATTCTAATTAATTTTATTTTTATATTATTTATCGACTTTTTTCCCATTTTTTTAATCGCTTTTTCTCGAAATTATCGAATTTCGTTCTCGATTAGTATATATTTATTTTTGTTTTTATAAATAATTTGTTAGTTATTCTTCTCTATTACTACTTATTAAGAAAAATAATTTGTATCCTTGTTTCGCGAACGAGAGAAAAATCGTCACGCCGCAATTATCTTCGTTGGTCGTTCGAGCGAGTTAATGCACACGTTGCGACATCTGACGTACAAACGAAGAAAACCGTTTACACGACGTGCTCGACGTTCACCCAAGCACAGCCCTACACAAACTGGTGGCCATGTTGTATCGCCCTACTGATGATTGGCTCGCTTTACCCCCCCATCCTCTAGCCCGTCTACTTATACCCCCCTTATCTTCAAACCAAAATGCAACCCCCACTACCCCCTTTTTAATCGCGATAGGCTGATCCCGCGAGTTTGCGCACTTCGACATTTCCGTATTTGTGTTCCAAACGTGTCTCTTCTATCTTTGTCCTTAACTCGACGTTTTAAGGATTTCTTAGCGTGAATTGCATTTTAAATGCATTTTATCAATCAAATATGTACATAAATGGAATACTGTCAATATCTCTTATTTTTACATTGTAACGAACTTACTATATTAATTGGTATTAAGCAGCATGGGTTTGGTCATGCGAATGAATGAATTATGAAATATTTTTATCTTCGTATTAATCATGTTTCTTAATTCTGTGTATAATAATAATTGTATATTATTTAGAACTCGATATCTATACTAGTAAAATTATGTAAAATTTCGATAGATTCACTTTATTCTCGAACTTCGATTGTAATACTATTTAATCAACTTTGTTTTTATCATTTTAAGAGAAACATTTGAAAAATTTATTCAATAAATTCATTTATATAGTATTGATTCGAGTTTATGAAGCATTTTTCATAGAAATAAAAATATCCTCAACTCGTAGTATTATTTTTCATACGAAGAAAAAAATTACGATCGATATTCGATAGGATTGATTACAAATCGTAAGAAGAGATTCGATATGTAATATCGCATAAAATTGATTTTTAAAGAATAGTATTATTCGCTTATAATGAAGAGAGGAAAAAGGTGAAACAGATATTTACACACAGGTAAAAAGCACGCGTAGCACACAGCACTGGCCTTTTAAAGAGGATAGAACAGCGTAAGCGGTACTTCGACTATTTTGTTTTTATTATTAATCTTTGATTCATAGAAACACTAAATAATTATTCGCCATGTTCATTCAACATAAAAATATTTAAAATGTAATAAAAATCAATTTTGTATTTCCCTTTTATCCCGAAAAAAGAACAAATATAAAATGTAGAATAGATCAATAATTTTTAAGTTATATTACAAAACAATTACTCTTTTTGTTTTTTAAATTTTTGTTGGTTAATTATTAAAAGCTAACTTCGTAGTTTAAGAATAAGCGACAAAACTTTAACCTAAAAAGTCTGAGAAAAGATTAATTAATTGTCAATATCACTTATTCCCTATTGCTATCATAGAAATAATCCTAGTTATCTATATGTGCATTCATACATACTAATACATGTATTGAAAAGTTTGCATAGAACTTTTATCGGTGCATTTACCTCGGTGCATGGTACTATCATTGAATTGAATCGAACAATGTTCTATGTTCTATGTACCCCCATTGATCTTTTTATTTTCTACGAATGCAAACAAAGATAGCAGACACTATATGAATTTGATTTAAAAATTCAAATCCGTTGAAAGAACAAAATACCTACATTTATGAATTTTTTTATATAACGCAATAGTCTATTCACTTTAAAATGCGCAGACAGCGCCCAATAACAGCTCAGTCTTTTGTTTTTCAACGTTGCTTAAAAAATTCTTTTAAACTGAAATTAATTTGTTTTAATTTGTTATAAAATATACCTTGCCATTAAACACCTCGCATATTCGTATTAATGTTATATTTAATATTCTCTTTCTGAATATAACGCTGCAGTAATGAACCAACAATTTATTTCAATTTAAAAAATAAAAGATAGCATCCGCAAAGTTAAAATTATGTTCCATGTAAAAAATCATAAATTCAATGTAATAAATTATAGAAGCAAAAACAGAATAATTAAAAAAAATATAAAAATTCTTTCGAAATATTTCTAATGAGGTCTTCAAGCAGATCGTACGTATTAAGTGTACGAGTATATGAAACGTTCACCTTTAAATGCGAATTCTCAACTAACTTCACGGATATGTTGGAAACTAAATTAGAAACCTGCGCTTATTAGAAAATATCTACCGTTACTCGATATATCATTTAAGATTATACAATAAATCTTTATGCAGGGTGAACCGAAAAAGTTCCAAGGTAATTTTTAAAATTATTTACTGAATTTTCAAGACTTTTTAAGTTACTTTTTTTATCAGATTGTAAAATTATAAATTCAGGAATTTTCGGATCACTCTGTATATATTCTAATGGTTAAGGCTCAAATGATAGTTTACTATTTCAATTATAGAAAACGATACACACAGATACACGTGTGTAACGCTTTCTATTACTATATACCAATATCTATCCCAAGTACTATGTGGTCAATTAAAGTGAACACATTCATGCGTGATTCATTTCAGTCGGTTTGCTACGATGAATCATTTCTATAATGAACACGTAAATAATGAAACATTAAATAGAAAATGACATAAAAATAGCGAAAACATAACCTAAATTTTAAATGCAATTCAAAATTAAAGAACGAAATATTGATGAAAATATTGTACAATTATACTTCCTCGTTTTGATAATTATTTTGTTGCAATGCAAATATTTTTATTTATAAATTACTCTTGAACAACAAATATGCTTTAATTATTAACGATGGTAAAAAAAATATATTGCATTTATATGAAGTATTGGCTGATTTTTGCAGAAGAGTTTTTCGGGTGTTCGTAGAAAAGAGGAAATCATTGGTACATATTCGTGTCGTTAGTATATATGTAATATATACCTATTATAGGTATGTCTGTAGTACATAGATAGATAGATAGACAGAAAAGGAAGAAGAGTCGTGGGGGGCCCTACCTCGAGTATTGATTTGTAGGAGAGTTGTATGCGGCCACCGTTGCTACCGCTGCCAACGCCATAACCGAGTATAATACTGCCCGACACATATACGACATACGTCTTATTCGACATAGAAGACTATATATTTGATTGGCCAATAATTCTGTACGATTGTCTGCGGTGTTATTTATTTAAAAAATATTTATCAATATATATTTTAGAATGTTGAAATTATTTAGGAGAAACAATTCTAAATTATTATATATAATTATTAATAAATTAAACCGCGCGCGCGTACGAATTTTTACAGTTATTTACTTAGAAAATAGACCGTTTAATTACTGATTTACATATGGCAGAACACAACCGAAGGTTGATGTCCAAATTCCAGAATGACCGTTCTATCAACTTTTGTAACTGATTCAAATCTTGTGCAAAATCTGAGGAAAGCTACTTTTATCTCAGTATGTATATTTAAATTTTTTTAAATTATTTTTAGAATATATATATTTATATATAATTTGTAAATAAATAATACGGCAACAATCGCACGGACTTATTGGTCAACTTAATATATGATATATATGTAGGTTTATCTGTATACGCATACATATGGATATTTATTTATATATATTGAAATTGGCCCTTTTAGTACCTTGAGCACTTCTTCAAATTACAGAAATTGTACAAAAAAAAAAGAAATAAATGTGATTATAACTTACCGCTTGCTTCCTTCGCATTAAGATCGTAACCATTTACGAGTACTGGCCGCACGCGGAAATCTTCCTTACGGCCAATCGACGATTGAACAGACGATTCTCCATTTTTATTGGTCCATCGACCTTTGGAACCTCGCTGTTGTTGCAACGATGATGATCTCGAACTATTCGTATTATTTGGTCCTGTTGTATTTTCTGAACGATTACCACCTGAAAATAAAATACATTTATCAACGTGATCTTCATTTTATTATATTAACAATTTTTTTTTATTGAATTTCATCGAATTTCTGTAAGAAAATGTCAATGGCAATTTGAAAAGAAAGTAGAATTCGCGCGCAAATTATATTTGAAAAAAAAAAACAAAAGAAAAATTGCTAAGTAAAAAAGATTATAAGTCATTGATTATTTTTGAAAATTAATTGAAATAAGCAGTAAAAGATCGGAGAAAATAGGTCAGTGCAATTTTGATGAACGTTTTGTAAGTCGCGCGAAGAAGGAGAAGGCAAGTAAGAACGTTTTTGGAACGGATCCCGGCCGCAGAAATTCCAATGGTTAAAAGCGAGAGAGTGAGAGAGATGTAATATACGTGGGCGTGCGCACGCACGCGGCGCCATTTGGCGCGCTTCCGCGCCAATTTTCTGCGACCTGTCACATGGGTCACGTAGATCTTTTGACCTATGCGCGATCCAGAATGCGAATGGAACGATTCTTTCCGAGACGAAGGTAGATAATATATATGGGGATAAGATAATTTGATGTAGAACTGAAATATTTAATCGTAAAAGCTGTTAGGAACTAGGCGTATGGAACGGAATCCGTTGGTTTGCTTCCGTAACGTAAATTGCGAGATATAAATAATAAAAAATGTCTATATTATATTGCTTATAAAATAATATTCTAAACGTAACTCACCTGATACCATTTCCTGGGAGGTCATTTGCAGAAGAAGCGCGAGTTGTTGTCGCTCGGACATCCGCGCAGGGTAACCGCGGAAACGACCGTTACCGCCTGCGGGCATTCCGTCCTCATAACTCATATAACTCTCGGCAAAATAACGCACGTGGATTCCTCGTCGTAATTATTAACGAAAGGAGACAAATAATAAGGTGCCCCACGTATTTTAGCCCTTGTCGTTTTCGTTCTCCTTGTTGTTTCCTTTCTGATTAATGTCACTGTTACTACTGTCACCGTTTTCCTCGTCGTCCTTTTCCTTCTTTTTATTGTTGACGTTGACGTCGACGTCGCCGTCGGCGTCGGCGTCGTCGGCGTCGTCGTCGTAGTCGTAGTCGTTGTTATTGTTTTGTTCGCGCTCGTTTCTGTTGACGTTGCCGTAATCGGTGTCGGCGCCCTCGCCGTCGCCGTCACCGTCGCCGTTTTTGTCCTTTTCCTTTTAAGTCGTTTCGCTGACGCCGTGATTGTTGTCGCCCCTAACTTTTACCAACCACCACTCTCCTCGACCTTGTCGTTCTTCTCGTTCTTGCAATTCCTTCTTTTTCTTTTTTTCCTCTCTTAAATCTTTCTTTTTCTTTCCTTTTTTAACTCCTACTCCTTCTCTTCTTCTTCTTCCTCCTCTTTCTTCTCCTCCTCCTTCCTCCTCTTTCGTTCGTCTTCTTCGCGTTCTGTTGTGCTCGCGGTCGTGGCCCGCCACGAGCGAATATAACCTAGAAGCACACGATCACCTCACGCCATTTTGAGGCGCCGCGCGCGCACTGATACGTCCGATCAACGGTCACGCGATACGCTCCGAACACTTACCGCGCCAAACTCGATCGCGCCTTACCAATTATTCCGATCACTTTTTACGCGCTACTCGCACTCCTACTTATTTCTTAACTACTATGTTCTTCAGCGATACGATGTGAGTATGTACAATCGAATCCTGTGAACCCCCTTAACCCCACCCCTCTTTCCAACGCACTTTTGCAACTCGAGCTACAGAACATAATATGACGCAACAACAACGATACGTTTTTCATTTCTTCGGTTGGTACGACTGATCACAGTGCAAATCGCAATGGCGGAAATTTTAAATCTCCGTAATGTGCACAAATGAGAATGCTTTATGAATAGTATATTTGTCAAATAAAATTATATTTTTATGTCGTACAGTTATATTTGAGTGATTTTTTATTTATAGAAAATGATTAAATAAAAGATAATCAGAATATTAATAAGGTAAGAATATTAAATTAATTTTAATTAATGGAAATAAGTTTTATATATTTTTTAATGTTGTTATCATTTTGAGAAAGATGATTATTATAACGAATATAGAAATAAAACCGTTATGAAAAATTAAGATAATTTTATTCCAATTTAACGAGAAACTTTGTAAAGAATATATCGTACACCGATTATTATTCATATAATAAATAATAGGCCATATTAGGTTGCTATAAATATTATTTTCATATCTTCTTTAACTTTTTCTGTAAAATGGCAAAGGTAACTAATCAAATTTATATAGCTTTTTTTTTAATCTTTCCATTTACTTGTTCCTTATCTTTTTTTTATTTCACATGCACTTGCACAGTATCTTCCTTACTTTTAAGTCGTTTATGTGACTCGTGTTTTTATTGTAACGATATTACAATGTAATTACGAATGGTAATAATAATAATGATTATTATTATTATAATAATATATATAAGAACGCATTCGTTAATTGCATCTAACTTAATAGCTATCTACAATTAACATTATATAGAAAATACAATAGTGACTTTCTTGTTGTTCAACAAACTCATTACATACAAATTGTTTCTTGTTTAATTGACTTTTCGAATACTGCAAATCGTGTAGAAATTTTGTCCCTCTTTTTTAATGAGTCATTTTATTAGAGCGATAAATATTACCATAACACCAATAACTATGCACGTAGCATTATTTGAGTTAACATATATTTATAGAGTTATTTATTTATGATATTGTGTAATTACGTTCGTCAATGCGTATGTAACGATTTCAATGATATATCGAAGTACCATCCAATACTTTTATTCTTGTCGAACGTCCAAATAATATTTTGGTAATTTTTTATTAATAATTCTATTGGTAAAACATGTATAACCAATTATTTCCAATTGTTGCATGGCAAAAAATTCCAAGTCTAATCCGTATAATCTATTTTTATTAAAAAAAGATGGTAAATAATTACGACTACACTTTAGTAAATGAAAATCTGACGATCGCAGATATCGAATAGTTCATTCAGGACTCATATGCATTTACTCAATATCGTATACAGTCTTCACAAAACATTTTGCTGAAAATTAAATATCCAGCATTATGAATATTAAACTATCTTATACGACTAAATGATCATTGTTCGAGAAGAAAAATTACAGGAGAGAAGATTAGTTTTTTTTTTTCATAGCAATTAGTCGGAACACTTGTACAATGAGACATAGATAATGCTACTTTTTGAATAGTGAAATTTATGTGCACTGTCGTATACAAAATTCATTATAGTAATGATAATATTCACATCTTTAGATAAATTTTATAAGAACTGGGGGATGATGGATACGATATATTTTTGACATAAATTATTTATATAAATGTAAACAGTTATACCAAATTTTGTAATTACAAATAAAACGTATCGTATGCATACACTGTTATATATGCGTGATTACAATTTATCATTATTTGATCATAGAAAATTGGATGTGTAGGAATCCTTTTATTTTAGGTAATAAAAAAAATTTCTTGGCATTTTTATCCTTACGAAATTCTTTTCATGCAATGCTGAAATGGAAAAATAATAATACACTGTAGAGGGTAATTTGTATATCTATATGACATAAAATTTTCAAAAAGTAGTAATTGGACAGAATGGTCATTTATAGGTTTCATATTTACTTCAGGCAACTTTAATTAATTATCATTTCCCACAATGAATATTTGGTTAGTCCCATTTCATTGGTCTATCGGTTAAGACAAATTTCTTATGAGTTAGAAAATGAATTTTTTTTTTCTTCCTTTTTTCAGTGAAATCTTCGTCTATGCTTTCTCTTACTATCATCGTGTATATATCATATACATACAACGTTAATTCAATATTTGAGAAAGACTAGTAGTATTATAATATATTTAAATGTTAATGTGTGTATTAATGCAATCGTTTATTGATGCAATGTCTGACCATGCAATTTGTTAAAAAATTAAATGTGCGTTTACCAGTCTTGGTATACAAAAGGACAAATGAAAATACATGTATTCGAATAAAATGTAGTAATTATTTTTACTAATGTGAACTTTTAGCATTCTAAGGTAAAGGTACATCCAAAGCACTAACAGACTTTGCATCAAAAAAAGAACGAACGTTTTATTAGATAAGATCGGCTAAGCATTGGTAAGAAGGTTTTATTTTATTTTGAGGGGAAATGGATATTCTACTTATAGGTACGTCAATGATTATAGCAATTATTAGTTTGATTAGTTGTTAATTCATAAAATGTTATTCTTCACTTAATGTTCAGTGATGTAGTAGTATAGTTACTTTACTTTCAGACAAGTCGAAGAATGGCAGGCTATAGCAGTACATGCAAAGAGAATTTCTAATTCTTCTTAGCGTCGTTTTTGCTTATTCATGATTGTATATAATAGTTAGATTTAATCATCGTTAATAAACTGAAATTTTTCTAAAATAACCTTACACGGACATGTAGATATATATATAAGGATAATTTAACTGTAAATTTCGTCATGCTATGATTAAATATAATTTGTACTAAAAAATTTAATGCTTCTCAAAGGTTTTAATTTTACAAACATTTTCCACTTGTCCTAAATATATGTAATACTTAATTCACGTACTGCGAATTTAATATTGATAACATTTTTCTTATTTTTCTTTTTATTGCTAAGAAATCATTAAAACAATTCATTCACTAATTAATTTCAAGATGAATCATACTCGTCGTACTATAATTTATACTTCCAATGTCTATCTATGCTAACACATCTTCGAGATACTGTTTGTAATTACAATATAATGATAAGACTATGACAATGAGAATGATGAAAATCAATGATGACAATATAGTATTAGTTTTATAACTAGTAATTACTATAATACACTCTTAAACATTACTTTATACAATGTATACTACTACTTTTTCCAGCGGAATGTCTACCAACTTTTTTTACTCCTGGTATTTGGATGGTAAAAGGAAATAATTTTTCTTTCCCCTCTTCCCTCTACGATTAAGTATATATCCATATGAAAACGAGCTTGAATAGCTTTTTTTGTTTTATTTTGTTTTACGTTTACGTTAGATGCTACTATTCAATTATATAAGAAATCGGATGAACTTGCCTCTCTTGTGTGATTATATTTTTAATATACACACACATACATTTATTAATAAGTGAACAAAAATGTATAACTTCAAATAGCAAATTCGAATCCACAAAAGTCAATTGCAATCAATTTAAGGCTCGTTCAAAACAATCAACCGCAAATAATATTACTCCGGCTTTTTAGCAGAATTATTTATTTTATAATAAAAAATTTAACTATAACTCTATTATATAATAATAATAATAATAATAATAATAATAATAATAATAATAATAATAATAATAATAATAAACGAAGATATCACGCTTCGCTTTTCTCAATCTACATTCTTTCATTAAATCGTCTATTTCTATAGCGTCGAGAGAGTTTCTCTACCAGTCTTTTCTTCTTCTCCGTATCTAGGCTTTTTTTATTTTTTATATTTTTTTAATTTTTTTTTTTTTTAATTATTATTATTTCATTATTATTATTATTAAAATCGTCATATTGAACCCTGTGTATGACTGTATATATAATTTGTTTTATTCTTTTTAAATTCTTAATAAACACACGAGCATATTCATTGTATCATATTTGACTTGAGCTGCGGGCACGCAATTGCGTACTAATGTAAGAGTTTATTTTTTTTTTCTTCTTCTTTTGCCAGATCACACAACTGTATTATTTAGCGGTATCTTAGCAAAATTTGGCGTATGGCACCAATTAATGTGACACGCACATTATTAAGTTTCACATTGTTTCCCTTAGTGAGAACATTTTATTTTATTTTATTTTGTTTTTGCTTTTCTTCCATATAGGCGCAAGGAAGACTTCAATAATATTATCACTCGTTTAATTCTCTCTCTGCTTTTTTCCCTAGTCATCCTCATGATCGTATTTCTCTCTTTTTCTCTTTCTCCCTCCCTAATTCGATCATTATTTCATATTTTCACAATGTTAAATCTCAACAATGCAAATATACAATATTTGAAACCGATAAATACGTTTTACAACGCATGCTTTTGATTGATTTATATTGTTTTGTAGTAGGAAGAAACGTAAGATTACTACTATAATTTCAATACGATCATCATAATAACTTGAATTATCATCATCATCATTATCATCACACAACGAAAATAGAATTCCATTAAAACCTTGTTATTGTTTTTTACTGCTGTTGCTGCTGCTGCTACTGCTGCTGTGTAACAACTAATGTCAATATTTTGGCTGAGTGTTTATAGAACTTGCACTTGTTCATGTTTAACACGCGTCATGGGTTAGAAGAATATACTTGCTTCATATCCGATCATTCAATTCAAGAACCAAATGTCACCAGTGGAGTGCTGGTACTCCAAAGAAAGAGTTGCATCGTGTTGGTCGACCGATGTTGATGACGTTGTTGGTACCATCGGTGGATTCTTCTCTTTCTACCTAAAACCTCCACAGGCTGGATCTTCGGACTCCTGATGCTGATCCTGTCATACATAGATAGCGATTCCGTCAGATCCAACCTACGATGGATTTCCTATTCTTACGAAAGTGCATTATCGGTCGTGGGGGTCTTATTAATAATAATCATAATAATAAATAAATAATAATGATAATGATATATAATGATAATATTAACAATAAAAATTAATAATGACAATAATAATAATAATTATTATAATAATTATAATAATAACAACGAGAATATATATATAATTTTAATGGTTAGTTGTTAACGGTCTAACCATTATATTTTTTTTAATAATAATAAATAATTAAAAAAATATATATTATTTCGCGAAAGATGAAGTAAATAAAAGAAACAAAATTAAATAATAAACAAAAGAGTATTATTTCGAAATATATACTATCTTAGAAAATAATTGTAAAACGCGTGTAGGGACTTGTACTATAAATTTCTCCTCTCTCTCTCTCTCTCTCTTTTTCTCTCCCTCTCTCTTTCTATTTCCTTTTTATATTTTTTGTTTCTATCTATGGTTGTACCGACCAGCATGAGAAGCGGCCACCATATCTAGGGGCAGTGAACCTCGCCGTTTAACGAGTGGTTCAGGAACAGAATCTCTCTTTCCAAGTTCTCTTTTCCATTTATGGGACGTTCCGATGTCATTTCCTTCAACGATACTTCCTGCGAACATCTCTGGTCCGCCGCTACTTCTTCTCTTTAATTTCTTCCGGTTACGAGGTTTTCCATTGACGTTACCACTTTTGCTGAATAATTCCCGTCGTAACTCAGACATGTCCGCAGGTATTGAACCTCTCCTAGGTGATGGCATACCAGGACCAGGTGCAGCAATATCAAATACTTTGTTTGTTCCATTATTGTTACTACTTTCTGTATTATTGTTATTGTTATTGTTATTATTTATCAATGGACAATTTTCTCTTTCATCTGAAATATATAAAAAGAAACAAAAAAAAAAAAAAGAAAATTAATTGTAATTAAAATGCATAACATATATAGATGCGTAATACGTGCACACATATATAAAAGTTATGAGAGAATAGATTTTTTGTTAAAAAAATACGCACTGGATAAGGAAAACACATTGCCAAGAATATTCTTCAGTGCAGCTTCCTGCGGAAGACTAGCTCTTCTGGGTGCGGGAAGATTTTCTTCTCGTGGTCCCAATGCTAAACGAATTAATCCTGCTTCTAAATATAATATAAAATTATTTGTCAAAATATTTATAATCCAAGTTTTCATATTGTATTTTTATTATATATATATTTGAAAATAATACTTGTTGAACTATCTTGATGCCTAGTAATGTCGATTGGTACAGAACCACGTCTGCAACTATGATCTACTTTTGGCTGCACAGAAGTCATTGTTAAATCATCTAATCTCGATAATAACGCTACTGGTGCTGAACCACGTCTCTTTTCCAAGCCCTAAACATGTTACATATAATAACAATCGTTGATTATTTTCTTTTTTTTTTTTTGAACAGATTTTTAATGAATCCAAAAACAAACTCTTACCTGACTATTTTTCCGCGATAAAGCGATATTTTTGCTAGATTCTTCGACGCCTCGTGGATCGACATTCTCTTTCATTTGCATATCGAAATTTAGCTTGGCAATTTTTAAAACTTTTTCTCTCACATAATCAAAATCCTTTTTGTTACTTGGGGTTACTACACTTTCACCGATAGCGGAATCACCGATATTTTTTTTTGGTTCACTACCACTATCGCTCGAAGAGGATACACTTTGAACCCGTGGAGGGGAGTCGGGTGGGCTGCCGATGAAAAATTTGTGAGTGGGAAGCTCAGAAGACACAGGTATCGTAGTGAATCGTCTACCGGTATTATCAGTCAATGGTTTAGGTTCAGTTACGGGTGTTGAATATCTACGTAATTCCGAATCCGTGTTCTTAATTTGAATATTATGATGATGAACTAAGGTATGTTGTTCGGATATTTTATTAGCCAAAATATTACGTATTTCTTCGGAAGGTAATTTCGTCGTACTAGGCTTAATCTCCAAGTTGGATTCTATCTTTTGCATATCACTAGTCGAATCCTTATTGCTGTGCGAGCCAGTTAATGAAGCATAAAACACTTCCGTGGAGTCAATTTCCTGAGCCGAGGATGGTCGTTTGTTTCGCGTTTGTTTAGTCGCGTTTAAATCGTCGTTACGAGCGACTTGCATCGAATGTCGTCGCGGATGTTCAACGCTAAGACCAGACTCGAGTTTTTGCCTATTTAATTCCGTAAATACGGACGGTCTCTTTCTGTTCAATATATCCGAGGAAAGAGATTCCTTCGATGACTTAACGCCGTTCGTTTTTTTCAGGGAAATAAAATCCGCGTCGAGTACGGGTGGTGTACCGCAACGACCACCAGAACAAGATTTATCTTTGGTTGGACTCAAAGAAGAACTGGAAATACTATCGGTCTCCATTAGAACCTGAGTGTAACATTGTGACAATTCAGCCGTGGCCGACATATATCTCATTCTTGCGTATGGTTGTAACGGTGGGAAAGTTTGTTGCCTTGTCAATTGTTTAGTTTGCATACCACCACCGCCACCACCACCACCACCACCACTGCCAATACCAACTTTCTGATTGTCTGACTGAAGGACCGTACTTAATCTCGATGCTTCGCTACTGTTTGTTATACTAGCTATACTGGGTTCGGGTAAAAGATTTTCTGCGCTGACCGGTCTCTCCGTAACAGTTGATTTTTCTGACGTTTCACCGGTAATACTATTTTTAGACGATAACAATGACAACGTACTCGGGTCCAAAAGATGTATATCCTTCAATTTGATTGAATGATTCTTTGATTTATTACCGCGTTCGTTCGGGAAACTAACCCTCCTATCTGAATTTTGAATCGATAAGGATAACGGCTTTGATACGCTGAGAGGTACAGAATGACGTCTATCAACTCGACCAAATATAGCTTTTCCTGGTAAACTGGGCCTTCGAGCACCTTGTATGTATGTCGTTGGAATCAATAAATCTATGCTTCCTGAATCATCTTCAACAGTTAGTTCCTCCCCAGAACTAATAACATCAATCTCCTCTAACTCTGAAATTTCAATCTCTGTATCTTCGGCAGTTTCTTGAACGATAAGGATTTCCCATTTCTTTTGATTACTACGTAGATATTCCATCAAAGAAACGCTGAGACCATCGCCAAGAAAACGATGCCATTCCTCGTACAATGGGGTTACGACGAACTTGAAAAATCCAACTTGAATCTTTGGAATACTTGTCGAGTGCCGATCGCACAAGGGTGTTACCGGTAAATTTAAACGGCGCTCGTAATCACCTTGCCGAAAGAATTCTTCGCAAACTTTATAGGACCATTTCCTTGATATATCCCAGGGCCTACAGGGATTCGATATATCCGCACATTTTAATGCTATCTGCAATATAAAATGACGATTATCCGATTTCCTCATATCCAATGTGTTTTCATCCAGGTAATGCTGGAAAAAGTAAAACAAATACGAAACATAGTTAAACATATAACTTATCATCAACTTTCTTGATATTTCATGATAAAATGACATAGAACAAATAAATTTACCCTAAAACGTGTAAGGAATTCCTGTTGTCTAGTGATATCCGTAGCCAAAATCAACGAACTGATATGATTTTGAAGTTCCGATCTTATGTCAACTGGTAGTTGATCGGATACACCGCTTTCTATAAGACATCCGATGGCTGACCTCCAGTGATGATTCTCCAGAACCGACGTATTCTGAAGACAATGAGCGAAGATTTCACGTATATTGTGGAATACACTGGATATTCTGGAACGACGAATCGTCGAAATTCGTTTTATACATTTGATATTTCTCCATATCATGGAGAGTTATTTTCACCTGATATAATGCAGCCAGATGATTGCTCGTTGCTACAAGGAACGGTTGATTTACACCCGGGTGATCCAAATCATGCGTTACCGCAGCTATCAAGGAAGCCATAACTTCTAAATGGGTTAAGTGCGTTCTGATCTGCAATTCCATGCCATAAATCAATTTAATCGTCAATAATAAAAAAAACAAAAACTTAATAACAAAGATTCTAAGAAAAAACTTTTGTTTAAGAGGATCATCAATCGAACACTCACTTTTTCTTCTTGGAGGAAACAATGCATGGCCTGAGTCACATCCGTAGCGTGTATACTGTTGTGGTAAGGATTTGTACTGTGATAACCCTCTTCGATAAAAGCTTCAATTGCAAAATCGCAAGATAAGATCAGAACGTTTTTCTTTATTTATTTAATTATTTCGCAATAAACAGAATGTTCCATAATTGCAACAAGCGTACAAACGAACAATGAATGATACTACGACTGTTAATTTTTTTCACGTGTAATCAATCCTTGGAACCTTGTATCTGGATCACAATTACAGAACATTCCGTAGATTAATTTAATTCTTACCGAAGAGTTTCCATACCGTGACGACGTCTAAATGAAAATATTCGAGAAGCCCGTACCAATGAAAGAGATGAACGCATAATACTGGCAGAGAACGTCCTGAAAAATCAAATCCATCGTATAACCGTATATTACAAATATATGTGAAATCAAAGAATATTGTCTAAAAACTAGAGCATGCTTTTACTAAAATTAGATTTGACATTATAATATATAACAACTATAATAATAGAATGGAAGATCGATCTTAGTATAAAAAATGATTCCTATCCTTTGAGATTTCCATTAACAAGATGTTTGATATGATACGTTATAAATACATTTCTAAATATCAAAGGTCAGGAATCTTCGTTTAAAAAAAAAAAAAAAAAAAAAAAAAAAAAAAAAAAGTAAGAAAATTTTACTTTTAATTTTGATTTTATTCAAAAGAAAATTCTCAAGTTTAAATAATATACTCTCGATAAATATTTATTATAAATTCATTATTATTTCTATAGAAATAAAATTTGTTATTTATCGTATTCACGTTTATATATATATATATATATATAAATTTCTTTCCGAAGAGTATTTTTCTTTTTTAATAAACGAACAGATAGTTACCGCGACCTATGAATAATTATTATAATATATTAAGTTTAGAAAATTTTATATATATAATATGATAACGTGTTCGAAGGAAAATTGTATGAAGAAAAAGCAATTTTCGCCTGTCACTCACCACCCGTCACTGTTTCCAACGTGAAAGCGTTAAATCGCCAGTTTCCGGCTTTTTGCAAAATACACTGTAAGAAATAACGGAGAAACAAAAAAATAGAAAGAGTTAGAGCTTGAATAGAGAAGATAAGAGATGTGATAATAGCATTAATTAATAAAGAAAATAGTAGATAGGAGAATTATTAAAATACACGAACGGATGAAAGAGGAGTAGATGGTTAGGGATGGAGTTGGGTGGGGTTGGTTGGTTAGGGTGGGAAGGAAGGTTGGCTCTTAAGGGTTGTTTTACACGCTTATAACGATGTGTATAAAAAGTATTCGCGATAATATCGTGAAATTAATATTTTTACTTCCTTTTAAGCAATTAATAAATAATTAATACAATTTCTTTTTTTTTTTGCGTGAGAAAATAGCATGCGTCTGAAATAAATAACGAGAAAATCGGTTTGTTTATTTAGTTATCTCGAATGAATATTCGGTAAGATGAAATTTAACGCGATATGTTGCCGATAGTGGAGAGTATTGTTCGCCATAATGTAATTAAATTTACGTATTACGCGCACACACACACACACACATTTACATATCTCGCTTCACTAATCGGAATAAATAGATCTACTATTTTATTAATTAAAGACATTTAATGGAATAAAATTTTCCGTCCGAGGTAAAATGTCTATACGCGTGTTTCCAAGTGTAAATATACATGCACGCGTATGAACACGCATGCACGCACACACACACACACACACGGTTATAAATAATTATTATCGTTTTGTCTCGTTTCTTTCTGTGTTAACAAGGTGTTAAAAAAAAAAAGAAGAAGAAGAAGAAAAAGAAAAAAAAAAAAAAAGGCAAAAGTTGAAAATAAATTTAAGAAAAAGAGAAAAAATAAAAATAAATGTATTTACTACCGTGTTGCATTTAACGAGCATCTCGCGAAGCGATTTTAACGTGAGCGTTGTGTATGCGTGTGTGTATGTGCAACGGATGGAAAAGTTTGTTTGCGTGATGAGAAAAAAATGAGAAAAAGAGAAAAAGAGAGAGAGAGAGAGAAAGAGAGAAAGAGAGAGAGAGAGAGAGAGAGAGAGAGAGAAATAAAAAATGATAAATAATATTCGTATCTCACCTGAACTAGACCATGAAAAATGTCATCCAATATAGCTGGTTCTTGATTGAGAGATCTTGTGAGTAACCTTTTACGTCTTCTTTTATGCATAGTTAAAAATCTGCCGGTACGTTTTATCCTGGATCGTGTAATGTCCAAACTCTCCAATAAAATTCGGTCGACGTCCGATAAACGTCTCGTGGATGCTGCTTCCGGTTCCTCTGGTTGCAACTTGACGTCATCCGTTGATTCGTTTGATGGTATTGCGGCATCTTCTGTTCTCGATTGAATAAAAACATTCGCTGTGTGTATTATTCATATTTGTCATTAATTATTAATTTTTTGTTAATTAACATAATGTTATAACGCGAATGTTATCATTTTAATCTATGTTATAATGAACAAAATTTAATTATAATTGTAAAATAATAATAGGATTGTTTAAAAGTAATTAGATACAACCATTAAAAAAGTAGTCCTCCATTGTAAAGAATACAATGGTGACTTATTATTTGATGGACATTATTTAAAAAAAAAAAGAAAAAATATTAATTAAATTATCATTTACAAGAAATTATGTCTATTGTTTATAACGTAATAAATGTTAACCTTTAATACGTAAATGAATTATGATCTTTTTAAATAATCCCAGCGATTTTTGGATCATCCTTATTTTATTTGCGAATATAATTGCGTAAATAATATATAATATTTGTAATTAAAACAAAATTATCTAATGTTATGTAGTAATATATATATATATATATGGTATATAAAAAAAAACATACTACCCACATATAAAATCACTATAAATAAAAAAAGAAAAAAACAATGGCTAATATAAAGTCAAGGCCATAAAAGCTTAAAGCATCCTTCAACCTACGCGTGTCATTTGTCAACAATTGATCAAATGTGAATCGCAGTAAGCCACTGTTGTATGCAATAATGCAACCCACGCACAGATAATAATTAATAATATGCTTAAACGATTATTATTATTAAGCTTATTATCATCATCTTTATTCAGAATTTATCCTTATCGATAACACTCGTTAAAATCTCTAGTGCATTGTTTTTTTTTTTTCTTTTTTTTGTATTCTTATCTCTTTTGTGTGTGAAAATATTTATCTAACAAATATTAATATTTACAAGATATACCGACACGCGAGATATATTTTATTTTCAACCTACGATTCATTCTCGTGTGCACGAATGTGATGATATTCTCTACGTAAATTGTAAAGTCTTTCACTATTTCTCTTTCTCACCAACTCTCTCTCTCTCTCTCTTTCTCTGTTTCTCTTGGGTCGTTGAATCTGTCTGCAATCTGAGAGATTTTCAGAATAGACGTGCGGTTTGTAATTTTAGCGAAGCGTGTCTATTTCAACGCGGTCTGGTTAACTTTGTCGGCAAGTAAACGAGATTAAAGGTGTTTCAAAACAACAACTTTTTTGTTAATACATACAAAGTCGAATATATAAAAAGAAGAAAAATTAACAACAGAGAAGAATTTTCATTTCGATCGGAAAAATATTTAAATTTATTATCAATTAAAAATCGTAATTCAATCTATATCAAATTCGTAATAAATTGTAATGATATATTATTATTATTATTATTATTTTAATATAATTAAATTTTGATAGATGACTATGTACGAATTTTAAATTGTTTCAGTCTAAAAAAAGAATCGAGAGAAAGAGAGAAAATATAAATTATTTTTATAAGATTAAAAACAAAAAGAACATGTCAAGATACGTGTCAAGGATGTTATGTTAAGTTGTATAGGTATACAAATACATGTACACATTCTTGTATTAGTCCCAGTCGCGATCCATTGTGTTGCAGTTAATTGCAACATGACGTTAAAAGGTCCTAAGCGTTCGTTCTATGTGAGTTATCTTATTTATAGATCTCATTACATAATTTAAAATGCACTTGCAACCACCGGGGCCGATGCGCTTTCATCTTCTATTATAAGTGTTTAATATGCATATTAAATATTCACGATTATAATCGTACGAGTGTTATTATCAAAGATTTTTTAATTTTTTTAAATAATCAACCTACATAGATTATTTTTTCATTGTTCATATTTATTAATATGCGATTGAACAAATATTTTTAATAATTATAAAATTGAAATAGTAATTAATATTATATTTGTTATTTTTCATTGACGCGTAATGTGAACTTTTTAAAAATAAATAATAATTATATTAAACTATATAATAATTTCTGTTTTATTTATTAAATTCTAGAATATGAAAATGGATTTAGGAATATCTCTCTGATTAATTTTTATTGTATTTATTTACTATAGTCATTCGATATAAACACTGTAAAATGTAAAATGCATATACATAACATAAAGTATTGAATTTTACTCACCGCTGATTCGCACATATACTCCATTCTGTTCCTCGCTATTCACCGTTATTTCGGCTGACCGCCTCTGAAAGAAAAATACAAAAGAAATTCATTCGATATGAATTTTTATCAAGGATATCATCTGTAATCAAGTTTAGCGACCGCAAAGAAGGACACTAACGTTGCAATATCGATGAGTCCGCATAGATATAACGATTATTTTCCGATATATATATATATATAAGTTAGAAAAGGAAGGTTACATAATATATTACGCGTTAGGTTTATCCCCCAAATATATATATATTTTATTTATCTAACTCTATCGAAGAAACCCATTGAAAATCTGGGACGCAATATTGCAATATATAAAAATAAAATTGAAATTTATCCGCAGTAAGTTGGACCAACGTGATATTTATAATTGTATATAACATAATCAAAATAATTCATTCAAACAAGGATCCAAAATGATCGTTTCAAACTAAACCAATGAAAACAATCTGATGTAAGAAGATTAATAAATGTCAAACAATCTTTTTTTTCTTTCCAAACGACGCGAATCATAATTACAATAATTATTATAATACAACGCGTATTATATCATAATAAGGTACATTAAATCGTATGAAACATTAATGTAATCGTATAAAATTTGTCAGATATAAACGTTAAAACAATAAGATATAAAATGCAACAGTAAAAAATAAAGAGAAAAAAATTAAAAGAAAAAAAAAAAAGAGGCCCTTTAAAAGGCTTAAGGCAAATGACGAATGGAAGTAAAAGCAAGAAAAAGAATGAAAATCTTTCTGGCAATGTAGAGAAACCGACTGGAACTCGTTGGCAGGCTTTTCAAGCCACCAACGCCGGCCGATTGCCAATTGCAAAATGGGCCGACCTGAATTCGTATTCATCTCGAGGTCCCTCGATACTGTTTCGCCGTTGGAACATGATCATCGTCGACGTACCAATGACGAAAAAGGATGGATGTTCAAGATTTCACACAGTTAACGACTACACGTGATATCTATGCCAATTCCAATTCGATTGCTAAAAGATTGATAGATTTAAAAGTATGTTCCTGTCGTCGGCCATTTTTTATGTTCCACTTTCCCTCCCCCATTTTAATTATTATTTTTATCTAATTACTATTATTATCATATTTATTTATTATAATATTAATCCATTATACTCGAGAGGTTGTTCTTTGTTACTGCTCGATTTAATTAACACGATAAAGATGTTGATATATAAAGTATATAAAATATTAAAATATATACTTTATATTGTGTATGTTAAATCATTTCAAATTAGAAATACATCAAATTGTCTCGAGTGTGCAAAAATGGGTTAAATATATTAATTTAATTATTATAATTATATTGTTTAATCGTTAGCAAAAATTCTTATTCGATATTATGATTTTATTTTTTAATATAAAAATATTTTCTTAAAATCTCAACACACTTTCTGGACAATTCAACAATTGTTATTGTTGTAATTATTGAATAGGTCGTTGTAAGACTATTAATTCTAGTTTTCCATCCTATATTCTTATCCGTTTATTCCTTTTAGCTGAAACCATTTCTATCTTAGACCTTTCTTATCTCCTATTACCTTTACTTTATTTCTGCACACCCTTTTTCTGACCACCCCATAAACCCTTAACAAACAGCACCATTTCCTTCATTCTCTTTTTGTTCGAAAACCAAAGAGAAACGTTCCCACCCACTATCGACCAAACAATACTATTCCAATATTTACTGTTCAACTGTATTTTACGAACACGACGAAATAAATCATGGATGGTAACATATAAATTCTTGAATTATTTATTTGTAGTCTAGAACGAACGAACGAACGAACTCCTATCGATTCTTGGTTATATATATTTCTGAATTTAATGCGTAATATTTTTATTTTTTTTTTTTTATTATTTTATTTCGTTATATAAATTAAGAAAGAAAGAAGAAAAGTGGAGTAGAAAATTGTAGGACGCTGTCAATCGTGAAATTATTTTTGACAAAGTGTACAATAGAACCACTTCAATGTAATCAAATATATATATATATATATATAATCAACATTTGATATAAATTAATACGATATTAAAGATTCAAAGAGATCATTTTTGGATATTATTTCACTTTCATATAATTATTGAAACAAATATAATTTGTCTATCTTTATTTTTCTTGGACTGTTGTGTTCTATCTCTTTAAAAATAATTTATATATATATATAATCTTATTATATCTCTATCTGGAAATCTTGATCTTATTCTTCACAAATAGGACTACCTGACCCGATTGAAACTATTTTTCAAGTATCGACCTAATACCTCAATCAAAGTAGTATATATATCATCTTTCCGTTTTATGTATTCCTTTGAAAGTATCTTTCTCATATTTTTTTCTATTTTTTCTTTTCTCTTTTTATTATAACAAACGTCGCTCAAAAAGAAAAAAGAAGAAAATAAAAGGAATGGCGAAAAAAAAGGATAAGAGAAAAGAAAAATCTCGTTGAACTCATCTGAAGGACATCACGTATTTGGCTCCGATTCCGAGCTCGTTTAATTGTGTTTGAGGAGAACAAAAAATCCGATTCTACTTTTACTAACAATGAGTCAGTCGACATCCTATTGAATTTCACGAGTTCTTAAACCGATGAATAATGCTGGTACATATGTAAGTATAAATATACATGTATATATATATGTATATGGATATATGCATGCATCAACTCAACTAACAAACTATGTGATTTCTCTTCAACTTTTATTCATCCCCATAAGGACAGGTATAGTGAAACCTCCAATATCCGACTATCCAGTATTCGAACGTTCTACTATTCGCATATTCCATTATCGAAATGTTCTATTTATCTGTACACTGTCTATATACACTTTCCTATTCGTGTCATTATATATAATATATCTATATACTGTATCAAAAAAACAAATGACACATACGTGACAACATAATAAAAAGAAAAAAAAAACAAGCCCTGCGTTGCAATCGGTGCAACATAATCTCTCTCTCATATATGCGCATTTTATTCGTGCATTATAAAAGAAATGTTTTATAATTTTTCGTTAAAACCTCGCATAGCTGCCTTTCTTACATTTAATCTACATTTACCACTACCCCGAGATACGTGTACGAAAAAAAAAAAGAAAAATAATCAAATGAAATAAACAATTCCGTCGTTTAATGTTTCAAATATTTCGTTTATGATCTGTAACACACAAAAAAAATATAAAATAAAATAAGGCTTATATGTGTTATATAGTTGGTGCAACATAATCTTTCCTCTCTCATGCGCATTTGCTCGTTTCTAAAGACACATACATACACGTACACACACAAACACACACATATACTTGAATATATGTATCCCTGATCGTAGTAATATTAGCCACGACGGGTTTAGTCAAGGATACAACGGTAGTTAGTGTACTGGATACTGCCTGCGCAAAAGCAGTAACGTTAAATTCTTTCCTGTTTGTTTACTCGCAACTCATTCGCAAAGGCGCATATCGTTAGGGGTACGGTTAAACAGTGTTATATATATGTATATAAGATACATCGAAAACTCCTCTCTTCTGGTTGGTTCGCGGCCAACCTCCGAAAGATCATTAAGATGATTGGCACGACCATAAGCGGCTTGTAAACGATATTTTCGCAAACGATGGAAGAAGAATCGATGTTAAAACAATAGAACTGACACGGAGGAGGATCGCGTGTGCAACCGGTATATTATGTAATTTTTTTTTTAATAAAAAGAAAAAAAATATAGATATTAATTAATCTAAGTGGTGTTGATTTTTAACGTTACCTATTAATTTATACCTATAAGAAACGACTTATTATTTATCGGAATGCTAATCTTGCCAATTTGTTCGATCTTTTATTTTATTGTTTTATTTTCTCATGCACATTTATTCGATCGAAGATTTTTCGCGTTTCATTCTCGAATAATTAAATATTCTTCGTATCCATATTATTGCTTATTTTAATCGATCATTGTTAAAATCAAAATATAATTTGCACGATAATAAATAATTCTGCATCTTCTTCTTGATTATTGAATATTAAATCGATCGATGATTATTTTTGTCGTTTGCCTATGCATACGTTGTGTGAATCTTAGAATATTATTAATATTCAATAATCATTTTCTTATATACGCTCGCGACACATACTTGATATTATTAGTATTAGTTTTTTGTTTTTTTAAAAGATGATAAACATATTTTATTCCAAATCGTATATATATAGAAGACAGAAAAAGAAAAAGAAAAGCAAAGCAAAATAAAAGTACTGTTTCTTCCCCTTTTCCACCACCACCAGCACCACACCCCAATCTGTTCACATAAATCGACAATTGCAAACTGTAAAATCTGTCTAAGATTAAACTCGATCTCTCGCGTACGAGTTACGAAAGCGGAAAACGACCATTAAGATCGGCGAAAGATCCACAGAGAAACGGCAGTCTCCGTTGAAAACACTATTAATCGGACGTGATTTATTGTAGTACCGTGCGTTAGAATATACGCACGAAACACCGGCATTACCATTACCATAGCAATCACCATCGCAATTACAATCATCATCATCATCATCATCATCCTTACCATCGGCACCACCACCAATACCACTATCAATAACACGTGAATAATATTTGTAAGTATAATCAATAATTTTCGAATAAGCTAATCGTTTCTAATTATTATTATTATTATTATTATTATCATCATCAATACCAGCAGCACCGAGCACCAATACCATTATCAGTAAACACGTGAATAATATTTGTGTAAGTTAATATAATCAATAATTTTCGAATAACCCCAATTTGTTCGTTTTTATTATTCCTTATCGATGAATTTTTGTCAATCTTATTACGAATCGAAACGTTGGGTTAAAGTGTTTTGAAAAAAGAAAAAAAAAAAAGATAAATGAATAAATGACGTTGTTAACAAAAATGCGTTGAAAGGGATATATAAGGGAAGGGTAAAGAAAGTAAGAAAGAAGGAAAAAAAAGAAAAAAAAAAATATGAGTTAATTTCATTGGACTTGTCGA